CCCAATGTGTCCGCACCAAAGGCCACAGTGCCGAAAAGCCACTCTTACGTCTTGTCGACAAAAGCTCTCGACAAAAGCTCCCGAAGATGATCCCAACATAAACTTTAGGCGTTCCGCGCGGGATTCTTGAATCTGCGCTGGACCCCGTCCCTGGCGCGCGGAGCGCGCCACGGGCGGCGCCAGGGGTGCGGCCGCGGGGGGCCTGGCGCGGATCCAAGAACTTCGCGCGGAGAAAGTTTATGTTCATGCCGTTCTTTTAGTCGTCGAAACAACAAACGCTAGATAAATAACGGCCTTCTGGCACCAACAGAGCCTGGGCGCATGAAGAGGGCTAGAGGAACAACCGCGAACCGCGGGCCCCTTCCGAATCCCAGGCGGTCCTTATTTCGGCGTTTTGGTCTCAGGAGCCTCGGCTGGCGGGGGCGCCCTAAGAAGTGTTCGGGTGCTCTCTATCTCTACGGATTCCGGCGGTGTTCGATGGTTTTGCAAGAGTTCTCAGGGGGACCCCTGACGTTGTGGAAGGTCTCTGGGGGCCTTCGGGGGGTCTTTGGCTGTAGTGGGGGGAGGAGGATGGATGCGGTTATAAAGGGAGTGTGCGGGGGAGTTGGAAGAAACGGCGGGGATGAGAAAAGAGGAAATAATGAATGGGAGGAGCAGGGGGATTACACAGAGGGAGGGAGTGGGGAAGGTGTTGGGGAGAGATGGGGATAGCTTAGAGGTGGGGGACAAGAAAGAGGAGGAGGAGGAGGAGGAGGAGGAGGAGGAGGAGGAACCATCAGAGGCGGGGAAGGATCACTAGGAAGAAGGAGGGGAAGGGGATGAGGATCAGAAGGCCGAGCCAAACATGATACATCTTGCGTCAACTATTGTGTATGTCGCAGCACGGCAAAGGCGACCCACACGAGCGTCGAGACGAGACCAGGACTCGGCATCGCGAGTTAGCCCGCATGAAAAGAGGAGAGGGGAAGGATAGCGGCCGCAGAGAAAGGAGCAGGGCGCGGGGGCACACTCACGTATCGAGGCTGCGGCGGGTGCGCCGGCGCGGCCGGGCTGAAGGGTTGCCCCTGGTAGAAGCTGCGGGTCGTCGTCGCAATACATCCTGGGGAGGGCCAGCAGCCACAGTGCGGGCATGGCCCAGCAAGACGAAGAGCGGGAGCAGCTAGCGGCCGGAGGGCCAGGGCGCCCGCGGGGGGGGGAGGCAGCGGCGTGGGAGTCGGCGGCGGCCAGAAGCTGCGAGGGGCTCAACATCTTGCGTCAACAAGCACATGTAAAACAACCCCTCTTCAATCCCAACATCTCATTCTCCTTAAAGAAGGAAGGAGAAGGAATCTGAAAAACGAAGGAGGAAAGCGGCAGAAGCAAGAAAGGGAGAAGGAACCACCTCCTCCCTACTCCCTCCTCCTTCTCCTCCTGCTACTCCTCCACCCTTCTGTCCCTCATCTCCTAAAATCGGTCCCTGGACGCTCTTCCTGGATGCGTTCTGATCAGGATCTCGAGGGGGAACCAGCTGAGGAGGAGAAGTCTCCTGGAGGCCCAACACAAGGGAATCTACATCCCCACGCCTGGATCAACCTCGTCCTCCTCCTACGACACCCGACGTCGTGTTTTTGCTGCAACTTTGCTCTCCAGAGTCTTCGACAGCTTCCCTGGATCCGCCTATTCATGCTGAGTTGTTTCTGGCGGCCCTGGGGCCCAGCAGGGGCCCCCAGGAGCCAAACATCGTCATGACAGCATTCCGCCGCGATTGTTTCACGGCACGAGTGGGTCTGGGTCCTCGTCCCGAAGCCTGAAGCTGGTGGCGGGCTCGCCTGGTGACTGACGCCAGCGAACCCTCACTTCCTCGGCCAGCGCCAGGGGAAGGGCGGAAAGCTGATCCTGCCAGTGACGAGGAGGAGGAGGTGGGGGACCACGGCGGCGAGGACGAGGGCATGCCGGGAGGAGATGGCTGGCGGCGGCAAGATCTCCCCACCCCCTCCTCTGCGAGGGGGGATCTGGCGCCTCTCCACCCGGGCGCCGCCGAGGGCTGGGCCGGCGCCGAGACGCACGAGCAGCTGCTGGCCGAGCAGGAAGGGCGCTCCCTCTCCTCGCGGGCGGCTCCGGGAGGCGGGGGGCGGCCTGCACCTCCAGAGGCCCTGGGCGCGTATTGGGACGCGTGGGGCCCTGTGGCCCCGGAGCCCCCCCGCGGGGGGCAGCGACAGGGGCGGACGACTGGCCTCAAGGGGCCCAAGGACACGCAAATAAATACACAGAAATAAAAAGACTCCCCACATTTCCCCTATATGTTATGTTTTTTGTCTTCCCCCCCACTTCGCCTATTTTCCCATATTTTCTGGGGAATCGCCGATTCATTGTGTCTGTGTGTTTCTTTCCCTCCTGATGGCCTGGGACGGCGGGGGGGAACGCCGAGCCCGAGTCGGCGAGGCCTCGCCGAGGGCTCGGCGACGGGTGGGCCGCGGGGCCCCCCCATCGGCGAGGAGTGGGCGATCGGGGGGCGGTGCTGCACCTCCGGGAGCAGCTCCCCCCGCTGGCCATCGCTCGGACGTCCATTCCCTGCGTTGTTTTCGATGTCGTGCGTGGTTTTCTCGCCAAATGATCAAGGATGCTCCTCGATGGTCCTCGCCGAAAGAACAATGCACACGTCCGAGCGATGCCAAGCCCCTGACGGTGCTCCTGCTTGGCGGCGAGCGCAGGGGGGAGGTGAGAAGGAGCGGGCGTTCTCAGAAGGCTCGGAAGTCCCGCGGGCATCTGCGAAGTTCTCGGAGTCTTCCCCGGAGGCACAGGGGACTTCCCAGAAGGCGCGAGGACTTCTGAGAAGTCCCGTCGCCTTCTGCGAAGGCCTTCTCCTTCTCACTTCCCCCCCTCGCTCGCCGCCGACTCGAGGGAGGAGGCGGGCGAATGGAATGGAGCGGCTCGTGGTCCCAGGGGACGGTGAGAGCTTTGGAGACTGACTACAGGTGTGTACATACGTTGATACAGATTCCCAGAAGAATAAGACGGCACTTTGTTCGGTCGACCCTGGACTTCGCAAACTGCCCCCCAGAACTCAAACAGGTGCCTGGAGACGCCTGGGAATAATGCAATTCCGTAGAACGCATGCTTTGAGGCCTGCTACATGGGGTTGGAGTAGATGGGGACGGATGATCGTGCCACATCGCGGATACATCGGCGATGCATCGGCGATGCATAGGTGATGCGCCGGTGCTGCATCGTCGACGTCAGCGGTGTATCGGCGACGTCGGCGTGAAGCAAATCGGCCCCTCATCGAGCCGCATGGCCGATGCATCGGCAATGCGGCGCGATCCTCCGACCTCATCTACTCGGACCCCATCTAGGAGGCCTAGAATGCTTGCATGCACATCTCTTCTTGGTGTGAGCACTCCTCAGCGAACATTATGAGGCGTCGTCTTCACACGAATCCCAACCACTGTCGGGGCTGGCATGCCGTCGGGCCGCCCCGCCCACTAACTCGACAGGCCGTGACCTACGAGCACGAACTGCTTCTGCTGCGCCCCCCGGTCTACATGCGCTGCTCCTCCTCCTCCTCCTCCTCATCTTCCTCCTGCACTTCCTCGTCTCAGGGGCAACGACAGCGGGGGAGTGGTTCAGGGTGGGAAGCATTGAGCTGGATTCGGCGATAGATCGCCGATATTTCGGCGATGGGGCCGCGGTAACAAAAACGCACGTTCCTGGGCGGGTTGGGCCATCGGGTGCTTATCGGCGACGAGCTGGCGATTTCCAAATCAAACGCGCACTCTCACGCGCATTGCACCAGCCTCTCAAAGAGCGCAGGTTGAAGCGTACATCCATCCCTCTGCTTCGTCGTCTCCTGAGAGATCTGGGCCCCCGCCCCGCCATCGTAGGGCCGGCCCCGCCGGACCGACACCGCGCGGTCGCCTCGCCTCGCCCCAATCGGCGATCGCATGGCGATTGGAGGCCGATGCGCCACCCCGCTGAGCGTACTCCCCCCCCCTCTCCCCCTCCCCGTGGCCTCTCCTCTGCCCTGGCCCCGGCCCTCCTTCCTCCCTCTGGCCCTTCCCCGTGCCCTTCCCCGCCACTTCCTTCCCTGGCCCTTCCTCCCCCTGGCCCTTCCTCCCCACTTCCTTCCCCTGGCCCTGGCCCCTTGCCTCTGATCCTCCCTCCCCCCTGGCCCCTCCTCTCCCGCGAGGGCGCTCCCGTGCGCGCGGGGGGCGCAAGTTCTGGGATGACTGGGGCTCGAGGCTCGAGGCGCCTCTCTCCCGTGCCTTCGAGGATACAGGATTATATCGATATATACATCTATTTGTTTTCCCATCTATATGAATACTCATATAAATGCGCGGACAGCCGATGATCGACTTCCCGCCTGTCTCTTCCAGGTGCAGTGCCGAGGCCACGTAACTGGCGTGCACACTGCGCGCAACAGCAGAACGCACATGCCGGCGAGCACAGCTCCGAAACAAGGGGACGTGATAAAGGATTGGTCGACCCCTGTCCCGGGCTGCGTCGAGCATTCGGGAAAACAGACCAGGATTGTTGGGCCCAACCCTGGGAGATATATGACGAGGGGGCGTCCACCCTCGATAAAAGGGGGGCGTCCGGATAACCCCTCGGGGTGTATCCCAAGCTTTCCACCTTTTGTCTGGGCGGCGAAGCTGCTCGGGCATGCAACCAACGGACTCTTCGCGCGCGCATGTCGGAATCGCTCGAACGCCCTTGCGCGCGTGCTGTCGCAGGAACTTATTGCAACACAAGCAGGACAAAATGCACGTGCGCGAGTCGTTTCGCGCGCATGCCCGCTTCAAACACCATTGCTTGCATAGGGGTTCCAAAAGCAAGTTCCCCGAAAACACATATCATCATTTGGTGCGGCAACAGGAACTGTCAAACAACAAAGCTTGCGTTTGCGTTTTTGCGGATTCATAAGACAACGGCCAATCGGGCCTCTCGCGCCGCATGTCGACATCATTGGAGCGCCCTCGCACGCGTGTCGGGGGGGCACGACCCGTGTCGAAAGATACCATGCGGGCCATTTTGCTGCGTCGGCCGCGAACGCATGTCGAACTCATACCGACACCTTCATCACCGACGCGGGGACGCCATCATCGTCGTCGGTGTGTCCAGCATCGGCGCCGTCATCGACATTGCCGTCGATGTTATCTCGCCAACATCGCTACTATCGTCATCGTGTCTACCGTTGTCGGTGTCGACGCTGCAATGATACCGTGCTCGCCCAAGTCGCCGACTCGCACTTAATTGCCCGCTGGGATGGGCCCAGCGATCAGCGCCACCGCGGCCGCGTCTGTCGCGCCAAACTACGTGACCGCTGTGCGCGCGAGCATGCGTGGGCCATCGTGGCCACGGAGATGCACCAGCCAGCACCAACAACTCATCGCAATCACCGCCGCATGGGTTTGGCAAACCAAATTGCGGGTGGGTGGGATGGTTACGCGAACAATTGAGTTGACAACTCACTTGAGGACAAACATGAATTGCGCCACATATATTGCACCACGAATAATGCAACACGTAGACCGCACCACATACATTGAACAGCGCAGACCAGACAACAGATATTGTACAACGGCGATGGTACCACATAGATCGCACAACATTGGTTGCATACATTGCGCAACGTATATTGCGCAGCATAGCTCGCACCACAGATCTTGCACCACAAAGACTGCAGCGCTTATATTGTACCACACATATAGCACCACATACTATGGGGCACGTAGGTTGCACAACGCAGATGGCTAGAAACACATTGTTTGGGGTTAGCGCTGGCCAACCCACAAGAACACATACGTATATGAAAACAAATTGTTGAATGAAAACTTGCCTTTTGCAACGTCACTTGCGACCAGTTAAGATTCACCAGTGCTGGGCCTGAAGCACTCTGCAACTGGATCACGCCAGCTGCATGCGAGCAAGCCGCGAGGAGCAGGCGAGAGGCAGCAACGGCGCGCGCGGCTACGAGGCGGAGGAAGCCAAACCGGCCGAGCGGGCGCGCACGACCGGGCCCTCAAGCAAGATCGCTTTTGGGTCGCCGCGCTAGCCACGACAGATAGCGAGGCACAGACGCACAGAGAGAGAGAGAGAGAGAGAAGGGAACCAAACAATACCTGGACCTTCTCCGCAGCGCGCCGACCGCCGGGCTCCGAATCGCTGCCTGCAGCTCCAGCGCGTTTTGAAGCGTCCCCGGAAAGCGGGGGGGGGCCGACCAAGGACAGCCGATCTCAATAATACGGGGACGTCTGTATGATACAGGTGAGCATCCATCTTGGTGCCCCGATGTGTAGCCACTCGTGAGTTGAAGTGTGCGTCCACTGCGAATCAGAGATGATGTCCCCCCCAAGCTCCTTATCAATCACACCAAGGGCGGTTTACGCGGATATTGATAAAAGAAAAGGAGAAGGGTGGGCAGGGAAGAGGAGGATGGAGAGGGGCAGGAGGGGCAGGAGGAGGAGGAGGACGAGGAGGGGGGAGAGGGAGGGGGAGGAGAAGAAGGGTGGTGGGGGAAGGTGAGGATGGGGTAGGCGGGGAGCCAAGACCATCAGGAGAAGAGCAAACGAGGAGAGGGAGGACGATGAGGACGAAGACGGCCCCGTCCTTGGCCGTGGACTGGTGGCTCCTCGCGAATGGCCGCCACGTCCGACCAGGCGACCACGAGGGCGTTGCCCACGGTGAGGGTGCCAGCGACCACGGCCTTCACGTACATCATCGGGACCGCCACTCTGCCCTTGGCACGTTGAGGCGTGGTGAACTGAGACTTGGAGACGAACCACAATCGATGTGTGTTTGCTCTTGCTGGGCTGCCCGAGGCCTCAGGACACATCTGGGGATCTCCGGAGGGGTCCTGGCACGTTTGGGCGTGCTGGCGAAATGTTCGCACGACAAGAAATGCACAACCATGCTGTTCCGAGGTCTCGGAATAACCACCCTACATGCCATGTCGACGCTGCGCTGCCACAATTGCGGGGTCTGCCGCAAACCTCTGGATATCCCAGCGAAGGAATGTCCGACACGCCGGCGTCCGTCGCGATGTAAAGCTTGTGGCGTCGGCCGAGCATGTCCCTCCCCAGGACCGAATCCTCGTCGTAGAAGTCGTTCCATATGGCATTCATGCGCTCAAGGTAGGCAGGGTCGTCCTCCTTGGCCTGCAAGAAAGAAATCTCGCTCTGCAGCCCGACGTCACGGGCAAACACTGACGCCCGCGGTCTAGCGCACACGCGCTTGTCCTCATCGGTGCCAGACTGCATGGCCGACAGCACATCGTAAGTGAGCAAATGCTGGGCACAAGAACGCTACAGAAAGAGAAATCCGCTGTGCCCTCTTGGGCTGCAGGCTGCGGAACGGCACGTTTATCTCTGGAACGCTGACCTGCCCAGAAACTGCTGCAAACAGTGTGTGTGTGTGTACAACCCGCAATGATCAGGGTATAATGCGAGTGTGGTCCGCGGGTGCATGCATCAAATATGTTTTGAAATGGGCAGCGGCACTGCTAATTGCATAAGTGAGCTGGCGTAAATCAATCCAGATATGTTGGTTAGAGTCGTGGTACGGGTAATGATGCGCCTATGTTTTCTGGAAGGGGAAGACACATGTGAACTTAGCGCTTCCACGAAGTGTATAAGCCGCAGCACGTCACAATAACAATGTGCAACACGTGGCAGGCGACGGCAGCGCGACATGCAAGATGCAGCATGCATCGGTTAAGTGGCGAATGGTGGTGCAAATGTGACACTTCATGCGATCACGCATTCGCTGCCGACGCGCCACGGCAACAGCCAAGGTGATGCTCGAGGTAACTGTGAGGGAATGCGGGGAGGGTGACACATTATTGGTTGGGGTTCGTGTAGGTGTGGCTGTATATGTGGAGGCATGCGTCAATCGACGAATAGTTTGCAGCTCATGTAATTTTACTGGACATCGTGCACTCGCTGAAGCTGTGAAAGCGGACGTGGAAGTAGAGTCGCAATACAAGCAAGCAGCACACTAACTGTGTACAATTGACTGTTCAGAGCAGATAAAATATTCAAAGGAACATGTACTGCAACACGATCAGAGGCTAGTAACATATACGTGCGCAGATACATGCGTAGGCACTGGCACGGCACCGACAAGAACTGACGAAATGCCACATCATAATCAAATACCACGAGGCCACGGACGCTGTAAACGGATGGTTGTGTGCCACGAAATGATCTGTACTTAAGTGTGCGCATGAAAGGGATTCAAACAAATCTTCGAAAATAGTCGGAAAAGGTGGCACACAACACACACACACACACATATATATATATATATATATATATATATACATAAGACTGCAGTGGCGCTTCGCGCCATGCACCTTGGTCCTTGAAGTTTGGTATGCAGGCGGAATGGCAGGAAGGTCAAGCCGACAATTTAGCGATAACTTCTGGATGCCTTTTCCGGCATCGCCGCTATAATGATGTTATTGGTTATCCTTCCTCCATGCTCATTGTTCCTTATTTTCGCCATACACTGCGCATTCTCCCCATCCTCCTCAGCTCTTTTTTGCGGAGGCTCCTCCTTGGAGAGCCTCTAGGGGGCTCACAAAAGTTGTTTCGGGTTTTCTTAAGGCCTTCTGGAGGCCTCCTGGGCGCATTCTGGGGGCCTTCTGGGGCTTCCTCGGGCCACCCTGCCTCCAACCGCCGTCTCCCTGAACGACCGGATCACGATTTGGAATTCTTCGGAGGGCATCTTTGGGCCATCTTGGGCCGCCATGGGGCTCTCTGGGGGCCATCTTGGACCCGTGTTGTGCAGTTTTGGGGCTCTCTTGGGCTGCCTGGAAGCCCTTTCGGATGGTTGTGGGGCGATTTGGGAGCCTCCCAGGCGGCTTCGGACGCCCAGAAGACCGCCGTCTTGGAGCGTCGGGAAGCCGAAAAGAGGAGAACCCCAAAATTCACCAAAATGCACAGAAAATCAATGATTTTTGCCTCGGGGGGCCTTCTTGGGAGTGCTCTTGGAGCCCTCTTTGGGGCCGTCCTGGAGGCCTCTTGGGCCATCTTGAGGTCACGTCGGTCACTCTTGGAGCGCTCTTGTGCTGTCTTGGGGGTCTCTGGGGCGTCTCCGATATCCCCCTGATCGCCCTAAGTGTGCTGGGAAGGCTTGGCAAAACGCCTTGCGAGGCCCGGTGGCCGCTTCGAGGCCCGTCCGGAGGGCCCCAAAGCCCCAGGTCCCAGGAGTCCGGTTTTGAGGGGGGGGGGATGGGTGTTCCCCCAGCCCGGGCTGATAAAAATATAGGAAGAGGAATGTATGGATGTTTACACAGAGCTGTCGCAAAGAAAACAAACATAACTCCCGCACTGGAAAATCTCAAACATGATGACCCTCGAGCCTACCGAGGACTCTAACCATGCCAGAGTGGTCCAAGAAACCTGCACCTCCGATCCTCAATGTCTTCGGTGCTTCAAGGACCCAACACTTTCGCCCCCAAAACTCTTCGGACCATCAAAAATTCTTCTGGGGTCACCCTGGGATCCTCAAAACTCGATCGATGCTCGAACCGTGACCCGCCGATCGATCCTCAAACCGTTATGCTCGATCCTCGATTGATCCTTTATCCTCTATCCTCGCCCCTCCCCCCTCCTCCTCGACCCGCGGCACTCCATCCCACGGGGGCACCCGTGGGGCCTTTTTGGGGAAGCCCTTCTGCTCAAGCTCACCTGCATGGCCTCTCGCCCCCCCTCCGTCCGCCCCCCGCCGCCGCCCTCTCCACGGGGCTGGGCCGAAAAGGCGCGCAAGCGCGCGCCGCCCTGCGCGCCATCCGGACTCCCTGCCGGACCTCGCCACCCCCCGCGCGCGCGCCCGCGCGCGCCCGCGGGGTGCCTGCGCGTGGCCGCGCATGACCGCGCCTGCCCGCGCGAGCCCGCGCGAGCCCGCGCGTGCCCGCGCCAGCGGGCCTCCGCGCCTCCGGCAACCCGCCCTCCCCCCCCCCTCCACGCAGGCAGCCTCGAGACGAGAGACGAGCGGCCTCGCTGGGGCCCTCTCGCCCCCCCCCCCTGGGCCATCAGATTCGGGGCCCATGCAGCCACAGACCACAACACTGTAAGGATGTAGGTCTAAGGATGCAGCAGGGTAAGGGCGCAAGACCATCAGGAGTTCATTTGCCATCGGGAGCTTCCTGGACGTCACCACTGGCTCAGGGTTGGCCAAAGAAGCAGGCATGCAGGGCTAACCTTGCTGAAGCAACGTGGCCTTCCTGTACGGATTTTGAATGGACGCCGTCTCGGGGGGGCGCCACTCCCAGGGCCAAATACCTCGCGGGGCCTTCTGGCGGGAGGGGCCGCGGAGGAACGGAAGGAGGCGGCGGCGCGTGTCGCGAGCTGGCCCCCCCCCCGCCCCCCCTCGCGCGGCCCTGGCCGCGGGGCCTCTGGGCGGGAGGGGCCGAAGAGGAGCGGGCGGCGGCGGCGCGTGTCGCGAGCTGCCCCCCCCCGCCCCCCCCCCTCCCCTCGCGTTGGCACCGGCGGCCGCCCGAGCCGGCACGGCTTCGGGGGGAGGGTTGGGGGAGGATGCAGAGGCGGAGAGCAAGGGCCACGGGGGGGAGGCAGAGAGGCGGAGGAGGGGTCGCGGGGGGGGGGAAAGGGAGCAGAGGAGGAGGAGGAGGAGGAGGAGGAGGAGGAGGCGGAGAGAGGAAGGAGGAGGAGGAGGAGGAGAAGGAGGAGGAGGAGGAGAGGAGGAAGGAGGAGGAGGAGGAGGACGGCGACGGCGAGGACGACGACGACGACGGGGGGGGAGGGATGGCGGGGGGCACCGGGGGGAGGGGGGGGGGAGGAGGGAGAAAGGGTGAGGAGGAAGGACGTGTCGGAGGGGAGGAGGAGGAGGAGTACGAGGAGGAGGAGGAGGAGGAGGAGGGAGGAGGAGGAGGAGGTGGAGGAGGAGGAGGGGGAGGAGGGGAGGAGGAGGAGGAAGGAGGGAGGAGGAGGAGGAGGAGGAGGAGGAGGAGGAGGAGGATCGTCCTGGTCGTCGCTCGCCTCGACCTCCTCTCGTGGTCTTCCTTGCTCAGCTGGCGGCTCTCGGAGGTTCTGCTCGCGGCCCTCGTGGCTCTGCCCGTTGCGCCCGTGATTCGGCCGGTGGTCCTCGTAGCTGTCTGCGTCAGTGCGGAGGGTCTCCGTACCTCTGCTAGGGGTCCCGCCCTCGTAGTCGTGCTGGTGGCTCTGTTGACCTAAGGAACCCTAAATGAGGAACGAGGCCCCTATTTTCCATAAGTTGAACTTCGATTTCGTATCGAAAACCAAAGGGAAATCCAAGGCAAGCTGCGAAACACTTAAGGAACACGGAGCCCCTCCCCAACGAAAAGGGTTCCTTCTTCAGGGCCCCGACTGTAGCTGAATTTGTGGCGTTGGTAGCTCAGCGGGTGGCCCCCGTAACTCTGCAGGTGGTCCTCGTGGGACAGGCGGTGGTCCTCGTGAACCAGACGGTGGTCCTCGTGGCTCAGCTGGTGGTTCTCGTGGCTCGGCTGGTGGCCCTGGTAGCCCAGATGGTGGCAAGCGGAGCCCTTCGCGCGGCCTTCGTAACACAGCTCGTGGTCCCCGTAGCCTTCGTAACACAGCTGGTGGCTCTTTGAGGCTCAGCTGGTGGTCCTCGAGGCTCTGCGCGTTGCTTTCGCAGTTCAGCAGGTGGTCCCTGCAGCTCTGCCGGTGGCCCTTGTAACTCTGCGGTGGTCTCCTGAGCCTTCCTGTCTTCCTGGGCCTCCCGGGCCTCCTGCGTTTTCTTGGCCATCTGAGCCTTTCTGGACTTGGGCCCGTGGTCCCCGGCGGCGTAGTTGCACAGGGTGTTGTAGTCCTGGCAATTATGGTAGGAATCGTAGTCCTTGTGGTCGTAGTAGCAGTGGTAGTCTTACTGCTGAAGAGGCCGCGGTATCTGAGGAACGAAACACCAAGTCGCCCCAGTACTATCCTTTCTCGCCTGGGGGGACAATCGTGGTCTGGCTCGGCCTGAAGATTGCCGCGGCTGAAGATTGTCCGCTCTTTCCGTCGTGCTTGCCGTCGATCTTGGTGGCGTGTTCGGTGTCGTACCTGCGGTGGTTCTCGTACCTGGGCTGCCAAATACGCAGCTCGCCCTCGGGCTGAATGTTACGCAGCTTGTCCCGTCCTGTAGTGGAAACCATCACGAAGGCGGTCTTAGCGATGGTCATGATGTCGTTGAGGTGTGGGTGTAGCCCGTGTCGGACAAGGTCGCCCGTTCCCTTGAAAACTGAATGTGTTCGTACTCTTCTATGCGTGTATGGTCTCTGCATACTTGCCGGTGGATCTCCACCAAGGCGGTATAGCGCCGTAGCCCTCAACTGATTTCGTAGATGTCCAGCTTGTAGTTCAACAGCTGGTAGATGTTCACCCCCTCCCCGACTCTCAACTACCCGCGCGTGGACGATCACCCTCTCCCGGGCGTGCAGTTCCTCGCGGTGCGCGCACCGCCGATCGCGGATGGCGCGCTGAGGCTGGTCCCCTCGAGTGCGCGCGTGCCGCCGCCGGCCGCGGCGCCCAGGGGCGAGTGCGGGGGATATTCGCGCACACGGCCTTTCGCCCCTCCTCCTCCTCCATCTCCTCCTCCTCCTCCTCCTCCTCCTCCTCCTTCTCCTCCTCCTTCTCCTCCTCCTCCTCCATCTCCTCCTCCTCCTCCTCCTCCTCCTTCTCCTTCTCCTCCCCCCTTTTTCCTTATATGCAACCTCTTTGTCCCACGCGTCCGTAGGGCAGGCCGGGCGTTTCGCTTGAGACTTCCTCGCCACTCCTGGTTCTGAAACTTGAAATAGCAGCACATTCACGGATGGAGGGCCGGTGGTTTTCAACATGTGGCTTTCGCCTTAGCGCCGCGCAAATTCGTCTTCAACGTTTGCTACAGGTTCAAAGATTCGTATAGCTCAAGTACCAGAAACTGTACTGTGCCACGGCTGAAAACTGTCAGGAGACAGCAATCACCGTGACTCAACGTGATTGCCAATCACGTTGAGTCGCGGTGCTGACGTCCCAGGAATTGTGTTCTGGCACGATTTATGACGGTCAGGGCGCAACAGTCAGGGTAATCCGTGGCGTTGAAGCCCCAAGCACGGTAATCTGGCATGGCACGACTGAAGACTCTCAGACGAATCTCTTCGAAGGCCCATTTCCCGCAATGGAGCAAGTCCTCACAAGGGACCCATGAAGAGGGAACTTGGACGGAGGGTGTCTTGCAACATCGTTGATGCGTCTTGAGCTCGCTCTTGTCCTCCTCCTCCTTCCTCCTCTTCATCCTCCTCCCTCCCTCCCGCCACTTCCCCTCCCCTCCCTTCGCTCCCTTCGACTGACGACGACACGCCGCCAGGCCTCCCGCGCGCAGCGTCCGCCTGGGGCGCCTCAGCCCTGGCGCCGAGGCCAGGGCGGTCCAGCAGCGCGAGGTCCAGGCAGAGCCCAGCCTCGGCGCCAGGGGCCCTCGCCGCCGCCGTCCTCGCCCTCGCCCTCGCCGCCGCCGCAGCCGCCTTCGCTGGCCCTCGTCGCCGCCAACCTCGCCTGCGCCGCCGCCGCCGCCGCCGTCTTCGCCCGCGGCGCCGCCGTCTGCACCGTCGCCGCCGCCGCAGCCGTCTTCGCCCTCGCCTCCGCCGACGCAACCACTTTCGCCCTCCGTGCTGCCGCCGGCGTCGCCGCTGGCGTTTTCGTTGTTTTCGTCAGATCTGGGTGAGCAGGCCGATGCCGGGGAGACCCCCGTAAGCCTGGGGTCCGCAGAAGCCTTGCTTCACTCCCGGGGGCCGCCTTTTTATCCGGAGTCGCTTCTTGACGGCCCCGTGGCCCAACGAGAACGGCGAAAAACCTCCGTGTCGTCTTTCCTCTGAGAAGCCGTTCGGTCGGGCATGTCCTCCTACACGCGGATTTCGGAAGGACTCTGAAACCAATAAACAAACCTGTTCAAGCATAGTCAAACATTGAAAAACCGTCCCCAAACTCTGTTTTTAAACAACTGTTTTGGAACCTCCCTCCTGTAGAGGGACACGCCCGACTTACAAGGGCAGCGCGACTGGCGACGCCGACGCTGCCCGCGGCGGCCGAGCGCCGACGCCGGGCGGCCGAGGCCGCCGCATGCGCGCAGTGCTCCCGCACGTGCCTGGACCTGCTGGTGCCCCGGGGGCGCTGCGCCGGCGGGTGGTCGGCGACGGCGCGCCTGGCGCGGGCGGGGGCCGCCCGGCGCCCGCGGGGGCCCGCGCTGCGATCGAGCCGCGGAGCGGGCTCGGGTCGGGAGCGAGCGGGCAGCGACCCGGGAAGAGACGGCACGCGGATCCCGAGCCAGGTGGGCTCGAGAGCGCCCGCCGCCGAGGCCGAGCACCCAATTCGGGGAGTCTGGGGGCGAGCCCACATGTTGCCGTGCCGCGAGATACCAGCTATTTTAGCAGCGCTGGAGAAAGCATCAGCAGCAGCATCATCATCATCATCATCATCATCAGCAGCATCCGCATCCGCATCCTCATCCTCATCCTCATCCTCATCATCATCATCATCATCATCATCAGCATCATCATCAGCATCATCATCAGCGGCATCAGCATCAGCATCAGCATCATCACCATCATCATCCTTACCATCGTCATAACATCATCGATCGGGTCGGAAACAGATGGGATCGCCAACGAATCGTCCCGATTCGAAGCGAAACTGGATCGCCGCACCTGGCGCTGTGTGGCACTGGACGATGCTGGAACATCGGTCTGGATCGACTCGCGTCGGAATCGCGGCCCCCGATGGCGAATCGCATCGCATCGCATCGGATCGTAGGCGGCCCTGCCTCGGGGGGGGGGAGCGCGCTCGCCAAGAGGGGGGCGGACGAAGGAGGGTTTCTACGTACAGTCAAGACGTGTATTAGAAGGACGGGAACTAAACACGCAGGACCCTTGGAGGCCGAAGTGGGGATCTTTCGGGCGGCGGGCGACCAGCGAAAAGAGTCAAAGACAGGCCGCAGCAGCAAGCACACAAGGGCACCCTGGATGGAAGGCGCGCGTCCTTACTCGGCGCGTTGACTGCACGATGACATGCAGTCAGAATGCGAAATTGGGAGACCAACAAGCAATGGCATGCGCAGAACAGCTCGCAGGTCCGCGCGGAGTTCTCAGATCGGCGCCAGGCACCTTGGCGGCGCCAATGGCGCCGCCTCTGGCGCGCTCCGCGCGCCAGGAGGGTGGTCCAGCGCCGATCCGGGAAACCCGCGCGGACCGCAGAGTTTCCATGTTTACGTCATTGCTTGTTTCTCGACAGATGCACGATGACATACAATCAACATGTACGATAAGGATGCGCGGTACAGATGCAAAGCCCTTGGAAGGCCATGTTGACGAGTTTTGTTTCCAGCGCCGTATTTCCCAGAGAAGGCGTGGGCCCAGGGTTCTCTTTTAGTGTGGTAAGCCTGTCCCCGGTGCCAAGTTGAACGAAGGCCGGCGGACCGATGCGCGACAAATCACGAAGTCGACTGGGGCTGGCGGATGAAACTTCGAGGATTTCCCGGGCGAGACGTTGGTTTTGAAATTCCGATTGAAAAAGCACAGGGTGAAGTTCACGTGTTCGTTTGTTGTGGATATCTCGAACGAAACGCTTGTTATGCAGAATTTGTTGAGGATGTCTCGAGCCAATAACTCTTTGTCTTGTAAAATGCTCACTTCCCAGGGGCCACGATCTGGAGGATGTCTCACGTGAGATGTTTGTTTTCACGTGCCGAGATCGCCCAGAAAAGGGGATATCTGAGATGGCTGTCCCCATGTAGCTACGTGTTTGAACGTGACCAGGCCAACAAGGTGGGTATCTGCGATGGTGGTCCCGAGCTTGAACCACGTGCTTTGACGTGTCGATGCCACACACTGGGGTATCAAACACGGTGGTGCCGCCGTGAGTGGCCGCGGCGCAAACGACCGAGGCCGAGGTACATCAGGCAGGCTCTCCTGCGGTGGCTGCTCCTGCTGCTGCTGCTGCTGCGCAGTGGCAGCCAACGCCCCAGCTGATACTGCCCGCGGGTCGTGGCAACGTAGTCCGTCTGACGAGGGCCGCGCGCCCTCGGGTGTCAGCCTTGTGACGCTCTGCGTTGTGGGAGTGGCGCATCAATGATCCGATCCCGCTGCAGCTCCAGAGCGATTGATAGGGCGCGCCCCCGCGCGGGCATCGCTCTCGCCCCGAAGGCGGCGGCTAGGCGGGCGGCGGTCCTTCTCTGCGGTGGTCGTGTAGCTGGTGGTGGTCGGACCGAGCTGTCGTGGGCTCTTCATCGCCTGCAACTTCTTGATGCTGCCTGGAGGTGCCAACTCGTCGTCGTTGCTCATGGTTGCCGGGCGCTGAAAGGCATCTTGATGTGCCACCCACGTCCACTGGGATGGGGTCAACCCGCGTCTTGCTCTTTTCCAAGCACGCAGCTCCACGCATGAACCTCAGCGCAAGGATCCCATCTCTTCCGGCAGGAAGACGTCGTTGAGGGGCATGAAGAGCTTCATGTTCTGCTGGGCCGCTGCAGCCATCCCGTCGACCTAGATAGCACACCCGGCGTTCCCGCGCCACCTGCTCTCGACCCTCGTGTCGTGATCGAACGGGGCCGTGTGGGTACGTGTACGGCGGATCCTTCCGAGACCCTGCTTTGCAAAACCGTGGACAGAAGGCCAACATGTCCCGTGGATAGCAGCCTTGAGATGCGTGTAAGTGTAAGGCTCATCCAAGATTACTTCCTGACGCAATGCGTGAGGTGCCTTTACTTCCCAAGACTGTCCCTAAGATGCGCGAGTGTTTGAGCACCCAATACCATCTCCGCGAGTAAACAGCTTGAGCTGGAATCTATCCTTGCTGACGCCCTTGCCAGTGTGCCGGTGATGATCGACAACGTTACTCATCGCCCACATAGCACCCAAAAGTGTTGGAAATCTTCCATTCCTCAAAAAGGACGCCCAAATTCATCAACGACATAACCGTATTCTGGTGGCCATATGTGAGATCCCCGCATGACGGCTAACTCCTAGTCTTCTCATCCCACGCGCACCCGCTCGAGGATCGTGCACGCCCTGCATTCCCAGGCTCTGCTCCCAAGAGCTCCAGGGCCTCCCGATCCACGATCCCTCGCTGAAGACGGTGGGTATGCGTCCCGGGCTTACAAAGACGGCCCGTACAGGCAACCGAGGACACCGAAATGGCCAAATATGCTTCGAATGCGGCCCAAGATGGCCTCAAGGCGGCCGACCATTAATTCAAGAGGGCCCGCGATGACTCCAAGAGGGCCCAAAATGGCCACAATAGGACCTTCAACAGGGTCAGAGGAAGCCGACATCATTGGATTCCCCTGGGTTTTAGACTGATGTTCGCATTCTCGCCTCTTCGGGCTGCCGTCAACTCACAACGGCACAAAATGACTCAACGATGGCCCACAAGGCATCCAAGACGGCCCCAACTCGGCCCAAGAGGGCCTCCCGTGGGACCCAAGATGGCCTTAGGAGGCCCTTCGACGGCACAAGACGGCGCCCAAACAGCCCCCACCATACGGCCCCTAGACACCCACCATACGGCCAAGAGGGTCCAAAAACGACCCCAAAGAGTCCCGAGCCGGCGTAAGAGGGCCCAAGAACGTCCGAAGAGGGCCCCAAGGGACCCCTAAGACTGCCCCGCAGGAGGCCAAAACACCCAACAGACGGCGCAAACGAGTGTCATCGTCATAACCAGTATGTTCATCATCAAGAGCAGCAGCATCAGCATCAGCATTATCATAATCAACGTCAACGTCATCGTCGTCGTCATCGTCGTCGTCATTGTCGACGGCACTGCCGTCGTCGTCATCATCATTGCCACGATCATCATCATCGTCATCATCACCATCATCATCATCATCATCGTCGTCGTCGTCGTCCCCGTCATCAACAACACAATCGTAATAAGCATCGTCACGGGCACCACCACCATCATCATCATCATGATCAGCATCGTCATCGTTATCGTCATCGTCATCGTCATCACCATCGTCATCTCACCCATCATCCTCCTAGTCCGCATCATACTCATCATGGCTCTCTCAAGCCTGGAAGCACGAGGCGTCACAGGTGACGGCCTCCCGTGAACCCCTCGTACATTCGCCACCCAGAATGCTGGGCTGGCACGGTGGCGGGATTTGCCGCAAGCAACAGTGTGTGTGTACATCTATATGTACATATCTATGTATATATATATATATGTACACACGTGTGTGCACGCGTGTTTGTATCGGTATGCATACACGTGTCCAGGCTGCTCAACCATAGAAGAGAAGGAGGTGATGCGTGCGTTCAGGCTGGTGGACTTGGACGTCCGCCCAGCGAACGATCCCAGGACAACCTTGTAAGCCCCCCCCCCCAGGGGGAAGATGTTTTGGGCCACTCGGTCAAGGAAACGCCCTTGCAAGACCCTGAGCAAGTGTTGTCTACTGCTAAAAGCCTCAAGGAACACTTACGACGCCAACGCTGTATTCGGAACCTGGGGCGTGTATTCATTCACACGAACCGTTGCAAAATATGCAAATGGCCTTCTATTCCAAAGTAACTGCGGCCCGCACCCTGCATCATGCTCCAAGAGGATTATGTGGGAAGTGAGGAGCTAGGTCTGTCACTAACCCCACTCAGACTTTAGAGCCCCACAACAATGAAAGCTACTTGCTTTCGGTGCCGACATCGACGGACTGGGGCCCCACCAATCGTGGAAACGAACTAATTGTCCGCCGCACCCGTCACACAACAACGACGACGACTACGTCTACGGTTGCGACTGCGACCACGATGCGACAACGATTGCAGCTACAATTACGGCTACAAGCCCGACTGCGAGTACGACAAGAATCGCGGCAATACTTTCGTTCACACTTACAAGCGCAACGCGGCTACGACCACGACTGCAACAACCACGTATTCCTATCGCAATTGTCACGAGTAGATTCTCTCAACTCCTCTCGCGTGCAGCATGGACCGCAATTGATTACTCTCTGGGAAGAAGGAAGCCCGACATTACCAAATCCACCCAGCACTAAAGGGAACTAATATCCGCCCCGACGGCGACGAGGAATACAATTACGACTGCGATGCTGACTACAACCGCGAGTACAATTACAACTACGACCGCGGCAACAATCACGTTCACACTCACGATTGCAAACGCGACTACAATCACGACCACTGATTCCGATTGGAATTCTCATGAGAAAATGCCCCAGCATCTTCTCGCGTGTAGGGCTGGTATCGCACAGTGGATTATTCCCAGGGAGGGAAAACCCAAACATGATCCAGCCCGCCCAACAATAGAGGGAAAACCATCTCCGCCGCGACGGCGACGACAACGACGAACACGACAACGAGAACCACCGCGAGGGGGACCAGGAGCAGGACGAGTAAGAGGAGGAGGAGGAGGAGGAGGAGGAGGGCGGGCGAGTTCGCTTCCCCCGCCAATAGAACCAAGGGGGGAAGGACCCCTCAAAACTACAGACCTCCCGAGGTTAGTCTTACCGAGTCCGAATGTTACCGATGTGGACTGATCTCGTTCGGAGGGGGATGCTACAATATCGTGGCTTCAGTAGCCGTATGGAGTGTACGGACACATCAACAAGTATTGGGAGAAGGTGTTCGTGCAGAGGACGGCGGCCGAGGTTAACCACGATGGATGCTTCACTTTCGATGCCGCAGGACTCGCAAGGACTCCCCAGCCTTGAAAGGACTTCTGTCGGCGGCAGTGCGCATGCGGGAACCCGCAATGGTTGCGGCGTGGACAGCGGCGCTCACGTCCATGACCAGGGTGCAGAAGATCGAGCGGGTGACGGGCCCTGCTCCGAAGGGGCCCCATAGAGCGCGAGGTATCGCGCATCCTTTCGGAGATGCAGAAGTGAGCAGCAACAGCAAGAGATGGATGCAGCAGGGTAAGCGTTTGGCCCCGCCTCGCTGAGTCAGCAAAGTGCCGCGCCTGCCGATGCTCTGTCTCCTCAACCTTCCTGTTTCGCTTATTACGCCTCGAACTCCCTTCTGCCGGTCCCGACCGTTTTCGTTCCTCTCATTCCCCGCCACGGATCGAAATGTCGAGATAGAGGACGTTCTGCAAGTGAGAACGAGAACCAGACCCGCGGCAGAGGGTCCTCGACTCATGGCACGGCACGCTGGAGAGTGGGCAAGTCTCGATTTAGATGTCTAACAGCTAGTGGGACAGGGGTTGGTGCGGCGGGTGGGGTGGGCAACAGCGCAGCACGACGTGCTGGTCACCCAAAAGGTATCCGGCAGAGTTGTGAGCCCCAAAGGCGGTCGCCCCGGAGGGGCAGCGCGAGCGATGCTCGAGAGGCTGTAGTATGGAGGCCCAGACACGGCTTCCATGAGAGTAGACTGTCGCACATGCGACGCTCAGAAGTCCAGAGTAGCGGCACTTTCGGACACTTGGACTTCCAAGAGCGGAATGGACTGCCAGAAGACCCGCCAGAGAGCAGGCACCTGGAGGCCTCTGCAGCCTAGAATCACAAAAAAACCCTGATCATCATCCTCCGTCCTCTTCTTCCTCAGCCTCCTCGTCCCTCCTCCTCCACCCTCCCTCCTCCCTCCTCTCTCCACCCTCCTCCTCCTTCCTCCTCCTCCGCCTCCTCCTCCCTCATCCCTCCTCCCTCCTCCCTCCCTCTCCCCCTCCTCCTCCTCCTCCTCCTCCTCCTCCTCCTCCCTCTCCTCCTCCTCCCCTCCCTCCCTCCTCCTCCTTCCTCCTCCCCTCCTCTCCCTCCTCCCTCCTCCTCCTCCTCCTCCTCCTCCCTCCTCCTCCTCCTCCTCTCCCTCCTCCTCCCTCCTTCCTCCTCCTCCTCCTCCTCCTCCTCCTCCTCCTCCTCCTCCTCCTCCCTCCCTCCTCCTCCCTCCTCCTCTCCTCCCTCCTCCTCCTCCCTCCTCCCTCCCTTCTCCCTCCTCCCTTCCTCCTCCGCCCTCCTCTCCCTCCTCCTCCTCCTCCCCTTCTCCTCCCCCTCCCCCTCCCTCCTCCTCCTCCTCCTCCTCCTCCTCCTCCTCCTCCTCCTCCTCCTCCTCCTCCTCCTCCTCCTCCTCCCCGACAACCCTCCACAGATCAGAGCAGACCAGCGGGGCGGCGGCGCGCCGGATGAGCTCGGCGTAGCTTTCGCGCCGCGCCGCAGCACAGGCCGGGTCCGCGGGCCTGGACGGGCGGTCAGGATGGGGTGCAGTCAAGCCGTATAGTTGAGGATGCTCTCGCCTGAGCGCCGCGCACTTTCGTTGTACAAGTTTGCAGGAGATTCAGTGATTCGCATGGTTCACGCACGAAATAATGTGTCGGAACGATTCAGGAGCATCAAGGTGCAACAATTACAGTGATTCGCGATGTTGAAATCCCAGGGATGGCGTTCTGGCGCGATTCAGGATCGCCAAGACGTAGCAGTCAGGTCAACTCGTGGCGCTGAAATCCTGAGCATGCAGTCGGCCCGTATCATAAGGATGCGCGGTAAGGATGCAAGGGCCATGGAAGGCCATGCCGACACTCTGCGAGCGGGGCGCGGCCAGCGAAAGCGGCCAAGGATGGACCGAGGAGGCAAGGATGCAAGGGCACCCTCGGGAAATTTGCCCATCCTTACTATGAGGGTGGACTGTAGGACAGGAGAGTGGTGCTGGTGGCTGGCCTGAAGGGCGGGCCAGAGGCGCTGAAAGCCCTCATCATCGGAGGGCTGCGACTCGTTGTCGGAGCCCACTCGAGCAGTGCGCTCCCCCAGGGCTCCGGCAGCAAGACAGAAGAGGACGGAGGATGGAGGAGGATGGAGATGGAAGGAGAATGAAGACAGGGTGGAGGATGCAGGTAGGACGGCGAAAGATGAAGGAGGCTGGAAGAGGACGGGTGGACGCAGGGGGGCAGGTTGAGCCACTGATCTGATGATCACGCCACTCTACGCGGTAAATAATACCAACAATCATCACACATGCTCATATGCTTGGGCCGGATGGGGGTTACCCTGCACCAGTATCGCACAGAAAATGCGCAGTACCGCAACACTTCCTGGTCCGATTCGTAACTGACTTGAGTATGTTGCTCTCGGAACAGCGAACGGGCACGACAGATGCGATTTACCAACGATACACTGTGGCTAGACGAAAACCGCCAGATGAACATCGATATATGACTATTCGCACAAATACCTTGGCGGACATGTAAACTGCTGAGGGCTATGCAATTCGCTCATTACGTCCGTGCGTCCAATACTCACGACCCCAATGCGTAACCCTTGCCAGTGGCATACCGACGCAGCCACGCCGCCGCTCCCCACCTCAAAAGGCATATTCGTCGAGTCTCAGCCGCTCGCGTACTGGGGTGGGGCAATTTGTTGCGGACCCCCAGACAAATCAGATCCCTGCGCGGCGTGTGCATGACCACAAAAAGAGGAATGGTCACGCGGCAACATCGTGTATTTCGTGTGACCCAGGCCTCGACGACGAAGCCACAAGTCTGCACATGCGTTGAACGGCAGCATTGAAAAACAAGCTTGCATGAATGCATGTCGCCCCACCTGATCTGGCAGGGACGTTGCCTCAAGGCGAGCGACCTCGATGCTCACATGCGGCGAGCGTCGCTGACGTGGGGAATCAACGGAACAACTTTTGCTTACCGAACTCAGGCAATCAAGTGGGCTCGTGCCAAGGCAAAGGAAACGAGTAAACGCAATTGCCAAAATGCAATTGGACTGGACACGCGTCGGCCTACCGCTTTCTTCGGCGTGCGACAATCTAGTTCCACCCTGTAGCCTTGCGAGTGGTGTCCGTCGCAGCATGGCCTGCGAAGTTTGGTGTTCGCAGTGGCTTTCTAACTTTAAACATCAGATGCCCGAAAAGCTTCGAAGAATAATTGAAGCAAAACTGACGTTCACGAGTTCTGATGGGGGTTCCACTGAAGCTCAGCAGGTGCCTATGCGGCAATTGTTTTCCTGGCCGCCATCATGCATTCTACTTGCAGCAAGTGACATAGGCGGGCGGCGAATTCCATGAAGATGTGCATTAACACTCTGGAGAGATCCAGACGCGCTTTGCAGCGACGTTGTGCAATTCTTCCAGGCATGGACGAGGAGATTGTGCGGCCCTCAGGCAAGAGTTCAAGCTAGATGGCCTTGGTCGCACTACGGCGCCCCAAATCGCTCTCAAGTCATGATTGCTCTACGCATCTGCACTGCACCAAATTGAATACCGTAGAGTTTCACCCGCTGCCCGGTCACGGTGTGATGCCAGATGACAGCAAGCATCCTTGCTGGCTTGTGCCAAACTATTTGTTGCAATTGAGGCTTGTCCATTGCGTCTTCCAGTCTAGCATGTGGAAGATGACAAATACATCGCGTGACGGCGCTGATGACCATGCTCCATGAACAGATGAAGACATGCCTCAAATACTGTGTGGCAACTGACGGACGAATGAGGTTTGCCAACTCCTGCCACACATGTACACGACATTCAAGCCCAAATAATGCGGCAACAACTGCGGCCCAAAGACGTGCAATTCCCAATCTCACTACGGCTGCCAGAAAATTGTCTCCTTCGCAGGGTCGCCGGCCCAGAGGGAATGTCAACATGTCGATAGTGCCACACCTTCGTTAAGCGTTTCACGGACGGTTCAGAGCTGTGGCGCCTGAAAGACACAGTACAGCAGACCATGAATGATCTAACGTGCCACCTCGACGAAGGCATTCAGGAGCAGTGTTCGCGTTGCAACCTGTAGCGGCCCCAAGGCTTGATGTGGAAGACAAGTTGGTGATGCGGGGCAGATGTTCCATAACACCACGCGTGACCAACTGCGCAATGCCACGACTCAAGTGGCACGCCTGGCGGGGCAGACGTCATGAGAGACCACATAGACGGTGCTCAAGCAGTCAACGCTCAGAGCATGCATGAGAAGTCCGCAAATTGATCGCTCCTGGATGATACGATCCTTTAGCTAGCATGCAAGGTGTTGCCCTTAACTCTCTATGCCGCTGAACGCATGTGGAGAACTTCGGCCTAAAGACGTTGGCGCTAAGGGAGGTCCTTAGTTTTAACGTGCGGCGCATTGATGATATCATAGTTTTGTAGGTTAGCACCATATTTGCATGGCCCTGAAGCTGGAGAGGGTTCACCCCATTGGATCTGATATAGGTGCACGCAGGCAGCTCGTTTGCAGGAGATGCATCTTACGAGTAAGGTCCGTAACGCGTGTTCAGGAGTTTGCAGTCCGCAACGCGCAAGCGATCGTGGAGGTGTCGCGGACGGGCTAGACGCCACGCCCGCTTCAAGCTCTGCATCTCACGCTCTGGGGCACCACCCCGAACGCTGTAATACCACGCGCTCGTTTTGATGCCTGCTGGTTAAATGTTCCATGCACCGGAAATGTGTCGGGGAAAGAAGCCTGGTGTTCCGCCCTCGCCCCCGTCCTATTCACGCGTCGACTGCCGTCGTAACGATCGTGTTTCCTGCTTCAGTTCCCCTGCGTGGACAGGTTAACCAAGTCCTCGCAAGAGCAAGCCGCGCTCAACGTCAGGACGCTCGGGCGGCCTCGATGCGAACATCAGCACCTTTGAACGCAACGCGTGCAGCAAACCAGTGCCCCCCGAGAAAGGAAGGGGAGGAAGAGGGGCTGTGATTAAGAGAAAGCAAGGGGGAGAGGGGGAGAGGGAGGGTGGGGAGGAAGAGAAAGGAGGGAGAGGAGGTGGGGATAAGGGGAAGCAGGGAGGGGGGAAATGATGAGGAGTAAGGCGATGACGAATTCCGATGAGGTAAGGGTGCGGAGGAAGGGCGAGGGGAGGGAGGAGCAGCAGGACAGAGGAGGGAGGGCGGGATCACAAAGGGGGACGCGGAGGCGCAAACGGAGGACTGCGGGGAGGAAGCGGTAAGCCACCACGAGGGGGCCTCCTGTGATTATTTGCTACAGATCCTTTTAGGGAAAGAACAATGACACAAACATAAAACCTCGGAGGTCCGCGCGGGTTTCTCGGATTGGCGCAGGCTGCTTCTTAGAAGGCGACGGCCTTACACAGACAGATAAGGCCCGCGCCTTCTAAGAAGCAAGGGTGCTTCTAAGAAGCCATCCTTCCTCCCCCCACCCCCCTCTGCGCGTGGCTGAGACTTCCTGGGGCCCGTATCATATGGAAATAATCACGGCGCCGGATCACATGGGAAAGGTTCGGCGGCAACTCATGGGAGCCTTCCATACCATCTTGTCGGCTCTTGCGAATCGACGCGCATCTACGCTAGCCGACGCTGATCGACGCTAAATCGACGCGACTCGACGCTAATCGGCGCTAGCTCATCGACTCCCAGACGCTAGTCGACGCTAGTCGGCGCTAAAGACAACATTGCGAGGGAACACGGGCTCCCCGAATTTGCGACCGAAGAAAGGGGCCCGGAAGCTGGAAGCACCTGGCTGGACTCGCATGTGGGGCCTCTGGAGCTCTACGCCCTGGGTAGGCGTGCGAAGCCCGGCCTGCAAGGCCGTGGTGGGGCCAGTCTACTGTTAGGTCGGACGTCTTCCGAACACAGGCGGATTTTCAAAGACAAATTATTCATAGTCGAACATATTAAAACGTAGCTTTTGTTCGGCAAATCGTCACTGTATTGTTTTTCTATCATTCTTGATTCCTCCTCCTGTCGAGGGACATGCCCGACCAAAGCTTGACTGGAAGGACGCATGGCCACGTCGTGTGCATCCGCCTCGCGCCCGGGCTGGCCGCGTCCTGCGCAAGCAGCCAGCTGAACTATTGTTAAGTCGGGCCTGTCCCTCTACAGGGGGAATCTTCAAAAATAGTTAGAAAATAATATGGGGACGATTTTTGTTAGCATTTTGTTGACAATGTGGGGGCATTTTCAGATTATTTTTCATTTTCATCCAAAATCCCCCTGTAGGAGGGCAGGCCCGACTCAAAACTATTGCCGGTGCTCACGGGGGGAGCGCGATGGAGCACATCGTCTCCTGCCGCCCGAGAAGGGCTGCTCGAGGAGAGCAGTGCTCGTGCCTGGAGGAAGGGGGCAGGAGAGCCCAGGATCGAATCGAGCAGTCGGATCCGCGATCGAAGCGAATCGGATCGGCGGAAACGGGCAGCCGAGTCGGGAAAAGTCGAACCCGCAGAGATCGGCAGGCCAGTGCGCCTCCAATAAGACATCGGCACCCAAATCGGAATCCCAAGTGGAACCGCCTCGGATTCGGAAGCAATCGAAGTCGAATCGAATCGAATCGGAGGAATCGAAACGAGCTCTGGGGTGGGAGGATGAAAAGTATAGTTGAGCAGTGGCATTCAGATGCGATGAACGATACCTTCGGCCGCCTACGGGTGATGAGATCTCCATTTCTCCCAACCTCATCCTCCCAACCCGATGACTGTCTTCATGGCTGCTGGAGAGGGCGATCAAAAATCATCTCCACAGCGACCATGCGTGGCGCCCACGAGCAGCAGGCCTGGCACCCAACTGAGGAATCGTCGCCCAAAGCGCGCTGCTGCGTGACGCCCCAGCCCCCCCCGGCAATTCTCAATCGTACATCCTACATAGGGGGGTGACCGCAACTCAGGGATTAACCTAAACCATGTTTTCTGTTTTCGCTCTGATTTCGTTTTCCCTCGTTTTGTCTTCAATCCGCCCTTGATGTAAAACGAATTCGAAACGAACACGGCCCATGAAATCGCCAAGACACCGTTTAGGTCCACCCCTGCCGCAATTCCCCTGACATCCTCCGGCACGATTTTGTTCACTCCGCAGCCCCAAGGTCCCGACCCCTTCTCGGGGGACACATTTGCGCACCAGATCCATTATTGATGGCCCTGGGGCCCAATCACGGGCCCAGAGTACTGGAATCGAGGACCGGATTGAAAAGTAGAGGTGCGTAAACAAAAGATTTTGGCGCTCCGCACGGATTTCTTGGATCTGCGCTGGACCCCCCCTCCCTGGCGCGCGGAGCGCGCCAGGGGCGGCGCCGGAGGAGCCGCCGGGGGCCCCAGCGCGGATCCAAGAAATCTGCGCGGAGCGCCACAAGTCTATGTGTATGACGTTTCTTCTTCTTCTTCTACTTCTTCGGAAAATCATATCGTCGGAGGTTTGGGCCTGTAGAGGCGCAGCAAACAACGGCACAACCACAACCTTGCGGGAGCTCGTGCGGATTCCAACGGCCGGCGCGCGGGACCCCTACCTCTCTGGGCGCCGACCCTGGTGCGCCTTGTGCGTCAGGGGAGGGGGTGGACGGGGTGTCTGGCACTGACCCCGGAAGCCCGCGCGGACCTCCAACAGCTTTGTGCGTACAGTAGAGGCTCGACCACAAGAAACCTTCCACAAGAAACCCAACCCTGAGACCCCAGGACGTCCATTGATTTTTGGCGTGGGAACGTCACGCTCTCCATAGCAAAACCATCGAAGCGCAAGAAACCCCGGGCAACCTGGAGGCAAATCTGGTGTTTCTTGGCATGGGCTTCCACTGTCTGACGCAGTTGGGCGACGATCAAAAACGGGTCTTACACGAGATGACCTAGCGACCTCACGCGGGCCGCCAGCGCGGCGCGCTGCAGTGGAGTCGATAACGCATACGCGCGACCCTACGCGGGCAGCCTACGCGCCCATGTCGGCGAAGATGGCCCCGTCTTGTGGCGTCGCCCATCTGGTAGGCGATAGAAGTGGCCCAAACCCTTTGAGAGAGGGCCTAAGGCAGGAGGGCCAGAAACATCAGGGACAACGGGGTCTTTCTGCAGACATCTCACTCGAGACACCTAGACATCGGGGACCGTAGCTAAACGACGGATTCATGATGTGATCCGGAATAGGAATTGCACTATGCTTAATGCTTCGATCCTCCTCTGAGGGGGGGGGGGGGCGGAGCACCACCCACATCCATTGGTTCACCTCGCTCACCTCGTTCACCTCATTCACCTCGCTTACCTCCTCCTCCTCCTCCTCCTCCTCCTCCTCGTCCTCCTCGTCCTCCTCGCCCCCTTCCTCGTGCTCCTTGTTGTCCTCCTCGATCCTCCTCCTCCCCCTCTGGGGAGCAGCCTGTCCGCCTCGCCGCCCGCCGTGAGCAGGCCGTGGCCGACCAGGTGCCCGTGGAGCGCGGGGCGCAGGGCGGCGGAGAAGGCCAGGTAGGGGCGCTTCGCGTCCGCCAGGTGTGCATCGAGCGCCTCCCGGAAGGCCTTCTCCGGCCGCGCGAGGGAGGGGGAAGGAGGAGGAGGAGGAGGAGGAGGAGGAGGAGGAGGAGGAGGAGGGGGAGGCGGAGGAGGAGGAGGAGGAGGAGGAGGAGGAGGAGGAGGAGGAGGAGGAGGAGGAGGAGGAGGAGGAGGGGGAGGAGGAGGAGGAGGAGGAGGAGGAGGAGGAGGAGGGGGGGGGCCGTTCTTAGGGAAGCGAACCATGGCACAAACATAACGACTCGGAGGTCCGCGCGGATTTCTCGGATCGGCGCTGAGGCCCCCTGGCGGCGCCTCTGGCGCCGCCCCTGGCGCGCTCCGCGCGCCAGCGAGGGGGGTCCAGCGCGGATCCAGCGACACGCGATGCCTTGCAAGCTGATGGTGTGTCGCTCTGCCTCGCGGGGCGGGGGGCTGGGAAAGGCTCGGGGAAACTGGCGCGTGGGAGCTGGGCCAGAACCGTCGGCACGACACGCTCAGCAGAAGTTCCGGACTGCGTCAGCCACTGGCGTCAGGTGCGAAGTGTGGTACGCGTACCGGGAGCATCAGATTACCTGGGCTTCCGAGCCTTCACCAGCACCGACTTCCAAGGATGATAGTGGCCATGAGCCCCCACCCGACACCGACAGGGCTGCGCACCTTCAGGGCATCGGCGCTACACTACAGTCCTCGCACACTGGCGGTGGACGCGGGTCAATCCGCAGAAGCCGACCAGCGCGCACGCGGCCGTCGCCGCGGCCGACGGCACATGCGCAGCGTGCGCACGCACACCAGGACCTGACATGGGACACACGAGAGGAGAGCACCCGCACAGGTGCGTACGCGCGCGCACCCACTGTGGGAGGGAGGAGGGGGAAGGGCGAAATCCTCCGCCATTCCTTTTTCACTATAGGTATAACTCCTCCCAGTCGCACTGGGCTGGGCGGTTGGCCTGAGACTCCCTCACCACCAGTGACACCGAAGTTCAAGCATGGGCAACAGTTTCACAAATGGGGGGGCGGGTCGCTTCCAAAGTGTGGCTCTCGTCTTCGCGCCGCGGACACTCGCCAAACACATTGCAAGAGTTTCAAAGGTCGAGGGCGCGCCGTCTTCTGAATGTGGCTCTCGCCTTCGCGCCGCGCATCTTCGTTAAGACATACCAGAAGCTCACGGGTTGACGGCGCGTGGTGTTCACAATGCGGCGCTCGCCTTCACGCCGTGCACATACATCTTAGATTTGCCAGAGTTTCACGGGTTGAGTGCAGGTCGTTTTCAAAATGTGGCTCCCGCCTGAGCGCCGCGCACATTCGTCTTACAACTTCGCAACAGCTTCACGAATTTAGGGCGATTTCTTTTCAACTTGTAGCTTTCGCCTTAGCGCCCGACGGGCGCATCCACCTTACACACTTGAAAGCATTTCGCGGACTCGCAGGTGCTATATCATGCCAGAAATTGCGCTTTGAAGCGATTCGGGGTTATCAAGGCGCAAGAGCTACGTTGACTCGCGGTGTTGAAGTACCAAGTAATGGCACGCTTCAGGAACGTCACTCCGAAACAGTCAGGTTAATTCGTGGCGTTGGAGTCCTGAGAATGGTGTTTTGGCGCGCTTCGGGATCTTCACACGATTGTCTCCCAACGGGGTACTTTCCTCAGTGGAAATGAACCTTCGTAGGGTTCCATTAAGAGGAAGCTCCCCTGTGGATGTGGAGTGGTTCGTCGTCGTCGTCGTCGTCGTCGGTGTCGTCGTCGTTGTCGTCGTCATCGTCGTCGTCTTCGTCGTCGTCCTCTGTCGTCGTCGTCGTCGTCGTCCGTCGACGGCCGTCGTCATCCGTTCATCGTCGTTGTCCTCGTCATCATCGTCGTTGGGGTCGTCGTCGTCCCCCCGATCTCATCTGGGGGGGAGGGGGGGCTGTGGAACCCTGGGGCCCATCCCATCTGGGGGGGCCTGTGAACCCGTGGCCCAGGCCCAGGATCATACATTCCAGCGGCGTCGGATCCCAGGGTCCTCCTGATCCTTCGCCCCATCCCCTCCCTCCACTCGCCTCCTCGTCGTCAGGGGCGTCCGAGGGGGAGTTCTCAAATCATGGGCCGAGGGCACTGGAGCGGGCGAGAGGAGGTCTGGAGACGTATCGAAAGAAGATGAGGCGGCCATGAAATCCGAGAACCGAGGCCACGAATCCTTGAACATACTAGTAGCTCGGGGTGCGCTCTCCCGACGCCGCGCGCTCAGGCAGATTACGGTGCACGCCGCGCGCTCCCGAGGCCACCATTCATATGATTCACGAGTTCGGACGCCGCGTGCAAACAATCCGCCAGCAACCAGCCCACGCTAGCGCTGACCCTCGCTGCCCGCCCTCTCAGGGGACGCATGGCGGGCGAGCAAAATCCACTATACGAAAGAGTGGCCCTGGGTAAGAGTGACCTTTGGTGCGCGGCTTTTGGGAGGCCGCGGGGGGCCAAGCACACGCGCGCAAGACGCTACTGCTGCATCGCATTCGTCGATCAGGGGACCCCACTGGGCCCGCACCAAAGGGCACTCTGGCGAAGGGTCTCTCTCACGTGTAGGAGGAGAAGGAGGAGGAGAAGGAGGAGGAGTAGAAGGAGGAGGAGGAGGACGAGGAGGAGGAGGAGGAGGAGGAGGGGGGAGGAGGAGGAGGAGGAGGAGGAGGAGGAGGAGGAGGAGGAGGAGGAGGAGGAGGAGGAAGAGAAGGCGAGCAAGGCTCCCGGCTGCCTCGCCGGCGCCGTCCAGGCTGCCGGCCTCCAGCTGCTCCTCGGCGCGCTTCAGCAGCTGCCGCACGGCGTCCTCTCGGCGACTCCGAAGGGTGTGGTTTGCAAAGGGTGTGGTTTGCAATCGGCACCCTGGAAGCACCATGAGGGGCGGGCGGGTACCTCGATAGAGTTCTCGCCCGCGCCCCGAGGAGGCTCGATGAGGACAGTGTCGTGCCCTCCAGGCCCCCACGGCGCCGAGCGCAAACCACACCCTGGCGTAACCACACCCTTTGTAGTCGCCGATCCTCGCCCCGGGCCCAGCTCATCAGGCCGGAGCCCTCGGCCGCGGGCAGGCCGGTGCGCGGCGGCTCCTCCTCGACCTCGGCGCTCTGAGGCCGCCCGCCCTCGCCGCCGCCGCGTCGGAGAGGGCGCGGGTCCCTCGGAGTCGCGAGAGGGTCCCCGGAAGCCTCCGGAGGTCTCCCGAGGCCCGTCGGCCTTGCCCAAGGTGTTCAAACACCTCGGACCTCGATCCTCGTCCTCTCCGTCACGGATTCCTCGGCGTCCTCGTGCCGTTGTTATCGCTGCCGTCGCCGTCGTCGCCACTGCTGTCGTTGCGGTGGTCGCCCGTCTGGCCGCCCACCAACCCTTCTGGTCGTCGGCCCCGTGGGCGCCGTCGTCGTTGTCGTCGTCGCCGCTTTCGGCAACGTCGTCGGCGCGAGCGTGGGTGCCATCGTTGTCGCTGCTGTCGCCGTTGCCCTGATGATCCTCGTCATCCCCGTCAGCTGCATCATCGCCACCGAGGTAGTCATCAATGGCGTCGTCGTCGTCGTCGCCAATGGCTTCTGCAGGCTTTGGTACTGAGGGCATCCGCCTGGCCCTTTCAGGCCTGCTTGCCTGCCTGTTAGCGCTCCTCCTCCCCCTCTTCTCCCACATGCTGGTCCTGCACGTCCTCCTGAACCTTTCCCTCCTCATCCGCCGCCCACTCCCTATTATTTTCAACAATCGACTCTCCTGCGTTCTCCTCCTCGTGATTGTCATCGTCCTCATATTTTTCCTCCTCCACCTCGTTGTTCTCATTCTAGTCCTGATGCTCGTCTTGTTGCTACTGCTGCTCCTCCTCCTCCTCCTTCTCGTCCTCCTCCTCGTCCGTTCAGCTCCAACTCCTACTCCCTCTGCGTCTCCAGCTCAGTGTCTTCCTCAAATTCCTCCTCATCGTACTTCTTGTGTTGCTCTGTACACACCCGTTCCTCCTGCTCCTGCTCATCCTCCTACTTCTACGCTTACTTCTCCTCCTCCTGCTCCTGTTTCGCCTCCTCCTCGTTCTCACCCCCCCACCTCTTCTCTTTCACTCGCCTTGAGAAGGGGCGTGCCGTTCGCGCCACTCTGCCCGCACTATGAAATGACCTCAGCAGGCATCATCTCGACAAGAACCCCCTCGTTTGGTGCTGCTGGCTCAGCGCCCGCAACCGCAACCAGCTGCGCGGAGTCCTCGGGAGTCGTAGTCGACAAGCGCATGCACGTTCACAAGCATACACGTGCGCATACATTAATTCGTGTGCGGGGCGCGCGCGTCCGCCTTACACTCGACATGTCTGTAATTAACTGGTCCTCCAATGACACGGGGGTCGTACGGGGCCCTTCAAAAAATGCGATGCTACGGTGAACATGTAAGAGATGTGGCGCCGTAAAACAGAGCGCGGACGTACACCTGCGACCGTTTAGATGCGTTGCGCGTGACTGCATGTATGCGCCCGCGTGCCTGGAAACGCGCGTACGAAGTACGCACGTATGTGGTTCAATAGCGTCTCGAGCAAAGGAACCTAAGACGAAACCAGGACGAGGATAACATCGGGTACGGACACATCGAGAATCTCTGAGATCTGGCCGATCTGGGGGGTGCATCGGGCGCCGCGGCCTTCTCAGAGCGTTCCGGAACGCTCTGAAAGCGTTTCGGGACGCTCTGGACTCCGAGCTCCGCTCCTCCTCCTCCTCCTCCTCCTCCTCCTCCTCCTCCTCCCCCTCCTCTTTCCTCCTCCTCCTCCTCCTCCTCGTCCTCCTCCTCCTCCTCCTCCTCCTCCCTCCTCCTCCTCCTCGCTCGCACGAACACCCCCTGCGGCGCTCCTCGGGCGGCCCGGGCGTGCCAGCGCTGTCGGGCCCGCCGGCGCCGGTGGCCCGCGCGCGCGAGACCGGCTCTTGGGGGTCGCTGGTCCAGCCTGCTGGGGGGGGGAGGAGGGAGGAGGGAGGAGGAGGAGGAGGAGGAGGAGGAGGAGGAGGAGGAGGAGGAGGGAGCAGGAGGAGGAGGAGGAGGAGGAGAAGGAGGAGGAAGAGGAGGAGGATGAGGAGGAGGGGGAGGGCCAGTGCAAACTCAAGACTCATCAACGATGTTGGAATGCACGCTCCCTCCAAGCTCCCTTTCATAGGCCCCTACAAAGATTCATTGCCACTGCCCTGAGAGAATGACCCGTTGGAAAGCAACCGCGCGAAAATCCCCACGCGTGCCAAAGCACCATTCTCAGGACTTCGACACCATGAATCAACCTGATTGTTGCGCCTTGATGATCCTGAATCGTGCCAGAGCGCCATTCCTGGGACTCCAACACCACGAATCAACTTAAATGCTGCGCCCTGACAGTCCTGAAGTGCTAAAAACACATTTCCTCACCGTGAAAGCCCGTGAAACCCTTCCAACCATGTCAATCGAATGTGCGCAACGCTGCGGCGAGAGCCGCAATTTTAAAAAGAACCGCGGTCAAGCCGCGAAGCTCGTGCAACTTCTAAGACAAATGTGCGCGGCGCTGGGGCGAGAACCGCATTTTGAAAATCACACGCCCTCCATCCGTGACGCTCTTGCAAGTTGCGCGGCGCTGAGGCGAGAGCCACGTTTTGAAGGCCGTCCGCCCTCCATCTGCGAAACTGTTCCCAGCCTCTAAGCTTCAGGTTCACCAATGGTAAAACAAAAACTCAAGCGAAACGCCCGACCCTCCCTTCCGACTGGCCTCGGGGTGCGACACGGGGGAGTTACTCAAACGGAAGAGGGGGGAGGAGGAGGAAGAGGAGAAGGACGATGAGGAGGATGATGGATGGATGTATGGATGGGTGGGGACATGATAGAGTCAGATCAAAACACTACTCTCACATGAGCTGGCCCAGCGATCTGACGAACGAGAAGTTGAAGAACGGGAACCAACCCAGACCAAACGCACGATGTGTCCACCCAATTTCAGCATATCAGAAAACCACCAATTGAGTGAGCATGTCCCTCCACACGGCACGCCAAGCCCTCGAAGGAAGAAGACGGAACAAACATCCAACCTGAACGTCACCGAAAGTAGTTGCCGCAAGGTTGCCACCCGAACACTGCGTAGCAAATACGAGCTTGGCGTGCTGGCCAAGAGGCCCAACATCAACTCTGCTTGCAGTCTGCCGAGCCCGAACTTCCACACAGAGCATCGGAGTCACGGAGAAGCCGTGCACGCCCATCGCTGGCCGCCAATCCGCTCGGCTGCCGACGAGGCAGGGGTGGCCTCTGCCATCGCCGTCCCGAGCTCGTGCAACGACGATGCGACGTCTGGCTGAACTCTGGCGGCTCCGGCACATCCAAGGAGAGAGTCTGCTTCGGCAGGAAGATCGGCGCCGACACGAGGCGCATCTCCCCCACACCTGCAGCCCTACCGAGGCGATCGGCCCGATCCACGGCACGAGGAAGATCGGCTGGGATGCCCACTGCTGCCGCCTCGGCGGGGGCCTCCGCGGCGTTGACGGGGCCGGCTTGCTGCACGCCGCTCCCCTCTGCGCTCGGCGCCTCCGCGGCTACGTCGGCAGCGGGGGCAGGCTGCTTCCCTGGCGGCGCCGCATCTGCCTCCACCGCGTCGAGGGCGGCCGTCCCCCGCAGGGGCTCCGTGGGCGGCGGAGCGGTGCCGCTTGGCGCCCCAGCACCCAGCGCCGTGCGAAGCGCCTGGGCCAGGCTTGGCGGCGCGCAGAGGGGGGGAAGGGGGAAGGGGGAAGGCTTCTCAGAAGGGGGCTGCTTCTTAGAAGGCGCCGGCCTTCCGTGTATGGAGAAGGCCCGCGCCTTCCAAGAAGCAGGGGTGCTTCTAAGAAGCCTTCCCCCTCACCCTGCCCCCCTCTGCGCGTGGCCGACAGGCCGCTCAGGCCCCGGCCGCGGTGGCGCTCGACCTCGGCGAAAACTCGCAGCAACCGCCCAGCAGCCCGCGCGTCCTCGCGGCTGTGCTGGGCCCTGCGCTCGGCCGCAGTCCGGTTCGGCCCGCGAGGCGGGACGACGACGACGACGACGACGACGACGACGACGACGACGACGACGACGACGACGACGACGACGACGACGACGACGACGACGACCGCCGCTCCCTGCCGCCGTGGCCAGGGGGGAGATGTGCGAAGGGAGAGCGAGGGCGGCGACGGGGCGCCGGTGGCGCGGGCTCTCGCAGAGCCCGCGGGCTCGGGCCGAGCTGGCGCTGGGAGGAGGAGGAGGAGGAGGAGGAGGAGGATGGGAGGAGGAGGAGGAGGAGGAGGGAGGAGGAGGAGGAGGAGGAGGAGGAGGAGGAGGAGGAGAGGAGGAGGAGGGGAGGAGGAGTAGGAGGAGTAGGAGGAGGAGGAGGAGGAGGAGGAGGGCCTCGTCCTCGTCGTCGTCGTCCCTGGTCCCGTCTCTCCTTCTTCTGATCCACCACCTTGTCACGAAGTGGAGTGCCCCAAGGTTCAGAGCTGTGCTGCTGCTGCTGCTGCTGCTGCTGCCAGGATTCTGGATTCTGAAGTGCCTGGGCCCCCAATTTTCCAGGCGCTCCAGGGAGCGGCTGGGCACTAATGGGAGCTCTTTGGGTGTGTCGCGTGCGTCTCTTGGAGGCCAGGAGGGTCCCAAGACGGGCCCGGAGTAGCCGAGGAGGCCGCGAAGACGCTCCAAGAGGGCCCCAAGTCGCCCCATGATCGCTTCCAGATGCCCAAGATGGCCTTAAGACGGCAAACGAGGACCCCAAGAAGCTCCACGGGACCCTAAGAGCATTCCCAAGAGGGCCCCAAGCAGCCCCAATTAATGATTTCATGTTCGTGTTTGTATAGCCTTGTCTTTTTCAGCTTCCAACGCTCCAAGACGGCCCAAGAAGTCCCCGATAGCGCCCCGGGAGCGCCCCGGAGGCCCCCAGGAGAGCCTCAAGACGCCCCCAGGGGGACCCAAGACTGCCCAAGAGGCCCACAAGACGGACATAGAGGCCCAGTAGCCCGCAAGAGGCTCACGAGGCCCCCCCAAGAGGCCTCCAAAAGGCCCTCAAGATGCCCAAAGAGGCCTCCCCCAGAAGCCTCCAAGACCCCTCCAAGAGTCCCCCGAGAAGCGTCCCATCATGCCCTCGCTTGCATCCAGGAGGCCCCCGAATCCCAGCCCAGGCACGGTGGCGGGACAGGCGGAAGGCCATCAGATACCGAATCGCGTCCTCACCGTCCATGCGCCACCTTTTCCCCTCCGCCTCCTGCTTCGCTCCCCTTCCTCCGCTCTCTTACAGGTTGGTCGGAAGAAGTGGGTAGAAGCATGAAGTAGGAAGGCGGATATAGTAGATTGGCTCCAGGTCCTCCCAGAGAATCACAAAACACAGCAAAAACATGCCGATTCTTGAAGTAGGAAGGCGCTCGAAGTAGATTGGGATCTGGGAATCCAGAAATACCTACTTTCAACGACCGGCGTGTGAGGGGGCGGGGGAGCGAGCGAGCGAACGAAAAGCTGTCGCCGCCGGGAGGGGCCCGCGCTCGCGGGAGGACCCGGGGCTGGCGGCACCATGCGCACGAGGCGGTGCACGCGCGGCAGCATGGGGAGGGGGGGCAGGAGAGGCGAGGAGGATGCAGGCAAAGCGAGGAGGAGGCAGGGTGCGAGGACGAGGAGGAGGAGGAGGAGGAGGAGGAGATGGGATGCAGTCCAGCGCTCCCATGGCAGGTGCTCTGACAGGGCAGCGCGCCACAGCCAAGGGTGCAGAGCCATGGCGCTAAAGGCAGGGTGCCCCCAACCCCCGCCTCTCTGTTTCGATGACCCCAGCGTGGCCCCCAATTGGGAGTTTCGCCTTGATTGAACACATGCTGCAGGTAATTCAGACTGCAGGCACATTGAGAAAACCAGCTGGGCACAAGGAAGCACATTGCCTCATGTCACGGCGCTGCTTTGCTTTGATGTTCGTCAAATGCACAAGCAATTGAATGCTGCGAGACGCCGTGCACACGACATGCAGTGCAACTCAACGCAACGAAGTGCAAACCAAATATTAGCACACACGCGTCGCAGACTCAAATCACACCATCGTTTAACGCTTTGGAAGCAGAGGAAACAAAGCAGCGCAGCTCAAGCCCATGCTATGCAACCAATCCGATGCGAAACAATGCATAGACAAATGCAGCAGACCACGACATCCTCAATTCGAAGCAACGCGCAACATGACTTGTGATTATGCTGTAACTCTGCACGGAGCAACGCAGTGCGATACAACAAACACCATATCAATACAATCCGTGACCCACCCCGAGTATGTAATAATGGCATGCAAGGCATTGCATCTCAGATTAGTGCAGCACCAAATGCACTGCCAAACGCAGCTCCCCGCAAGGCCTCGGATGTGGAAGTGCTTGCCCCGGCTGCGCGGCTGGATGTCCATGTCTGCCTCTCTCGGCGCGACCGCGCAGCCGACGGAGAGCGCAATCGCCCCCCCCCGCCCCTCATCCTGGCCGGCCCTCCCTGGGAGGGGCGTGGGAACGCATTATTTTCCTCCTTCCCCTCGTCGTCTGAAAGGGGCTGGGTGTGCACACCACGTCGTTCGGTCGGCCAAGGAGGTCGGTGTACAGACGCCCCAGCTGCTCAACGTATGGGACGCTGGACTGTACATGCACCGCGTCCCCTCGCCGAATTCTATGGCTCCCTGGCCACCCAAGCGACGTGAGGCGTACATCGCTACGGAGAGCACCCAGGAAACCTCGCGCGGCAACCTAAGACAACAGTTGCACGCCGCGAGGGGACTCGAGGACTCTGCTCACCAGTTCGGGGGGTGCCACAGTTGCCCCTGGCCCATGGTGCCCCCAGCTTTCCCTTCCATCTTGGAGGCCCTGGGGCCCTCTGGGCCTCGTGCAGGGGTGCCCTGGAGGCCGTGGGGGCCTAAATCCTGGGGGGCACCTTGGGCCAGGGGCACTTCTAGCAACACCCGATCAGTGCCGAGCTCCCCCGACGCGCCCCGGAAGGCACGACGCGAGGCCGTCTTCGCGCCCTCGCGCCGCCGCGCGTGCGCATCGAGCCCTCCGTGGCCGCCAGGCTTGGCGCCCCGCCGCGGGCGCCTCTGCGGCCCCGGGCCGCGATTCGCCTTCGCGCCGCCCCGCCCCCACGGGCGACCCGTCGGGTCGGAGGAGAGGCGGGGTCAGCAGAGGTTCGGGAGCAGTTACTGGGAGGCCTTCGTGAGAACGAGTACCGTCGCCCCGTATCATAAGGATGCGCGGTAAGGACGCAAGGGCCTTGGAGGCCCATGTGAACGTTTTTCAAGCGAGGTTGGCCGGCGAGAGTCGCTAAGGATTGGCCGAAGGGGCAGGCTTGGGAAGGTTGCCCATCCTTACTATGCGGGTTGACGGTAAGGGCGACTAAGTCCGACTAGAGGGCCATTGAGTCCGACATTTGCAGCCCAGAATGAGCCAGATCAAGCCGGACCCACTGGGATTAAACAGGGCTGGTCGGGATTGTGCCAGATGGACCACGGATACACCAGCGCCGATGCTTGGCGGCGCTCACAAGGCTTCTTAGAAAGAGCCTGCTTCTAAAGCCTTTCCCCCTCCCCCGACCCCCATCTGCGCAAGACCGAGATGCTGACTTGACCCCCTGAGGAATTGCACACCAAGAGGAAGTTCGGGGGGTTCGGGGGCGGCCAAGAGGGGGGCGTCAAAGAGGGGGGGGTGCAAATCGTGACCGGCGGCAGAGGAGGCGCCATGAAATCTGAGGGAAATATCATGGCCCACGCCATGATGTCCACTCCCCCCTAGTCATCACCCCCCTCTTGGCCGCCGCCCCCAAGAAGTGGAGTGGGGGGTTAGCGAACACGCTCAGGCAGCCGCTTTCCCCACCGCTGGAGGTGCCCATGCACCGCGGCAGGCGGCCGGGACCAGCTGCAGGTCGCAGATTTTGGCCCCCCCCCCCCCCCCCCGGGTCCCTGACCCCCCGCTTTCGTCGGACCCGACTGGGGATCGGTCGTTCAAAGATGGGGTCCTGAGGGGTGGGGTCCTAAGGACGAGGTGCCTCAAACAATACAAACCCACCCTTGGGCCCCTTTCTATCCTCAGGACCCCATCTTTGAACCACCGAAGGGGGAGTTCCAGACATCCGGCGGCTCGATGTGGCTCGAGAGACTTCTGATCGGCGAGCACCTGCGCAGCAGACACCGGTCAAGCGTCGGGAGGGGCGCTCTGGAGGCGAACGCTGCGGCACAGGGATGGGGCCGGGCAGATGAGCGGGGCGGAAAAAAGGAAGAGCCGCGGTCAGAGCACGAGGTCCTCCACGCGCGTGCCAGGAGGTGCGCCGAAGCGCTGTCCGAGGCACGGGGGCAGGCAGCTCGACGCGCCGCCTTCCCTGCGGCGGCCTGGTCTCCATGCCACTCCGTCGGGTGCGCCGAGGCGGGGAGGCAGAGGAGGAGGAGGAGGAGGAGGAGGAGGAGGAGGAGGAGGAGGAGGATCAGATCAGACTCCTATCGGGGCATAGATCCAGATGGTGACAGCATCAGAGAGCCCTAGGACCGACTTACCAGCCGCGATGTTCGGACCACCGTCCGCCCTGAGTTTCCAGGGTATCAGAACCCTAAACACGCTACAAAACTTACCCATGGAAACCTAACAAGCGAGCCGCAGCTCCAGAAAGAGATTCGCCGAATCCAGAGTCCCGAAAACTTCGAATTCTAGCACCTCTAGCACGCTTGGTAGGAGGAGGGAGAGGAGTCGGAGACGAGGGCTCGGAGGGAGACAGAGGACGAGGGGGGGAAACCACGGCCTGGCAGGCAGCACCGGGGCGGGCCTCACGACAGGTCGTAGCTGTCCTCGCGGCCATCGTCCGAGACACGCCAGTCGCGGTCGACACACTCGTAGTCGATAAACTCGCACTCTGGGTCTTCATACTTCGTGAAGTTCGAATTCGCAACGAAATCGTCGACGGTGATGACTCATGATAATTCTCATCAACAGGATCTGGCACCCACATGTCATTTGACACCGCCATTCTGTCATTAATCCCAACATCACCGTCAGCACTGTGTTCATTTAGATATCCATGTCCTCGCCTGCCATGAACGTCTGCAGGATTCTCTCCAGGTGGCCCATTGGGGCGACTCCCTCTCTCACCAGTGCCCCGAGCTGCTCGCAACAGGCGATCAATGGTTTGACGTCTTCGATCCTCGGCATCATCACTTTGGCCTCCCCCTCTTTGAAGGCCGTCGCTATTTTCACAAAGGGATACTTGGCCACGACCTCTGGTAGTGACAACTTGTTGTTCGTTTCCTTCCATTCGTTTAGGCGCTGCAGGTTCATCTGGCCCACAGCAACACCGACCTTCTCGCGTCCCTCCGCTATCCCTACTAGACACGCCACCGAGATGGACCCCAGCTTGGACACCTCCGCCTCTTTCCCCCTCGACCTCAAGTCCTGAGCCGCCTCCACCCACGCCTTCACTCTCCCTCGTCCCTGCAGGATGGGTTCTGTGTTCTCGGCCATCGTCATCGTGATCAAAGTAATAGCCTCTACCTGTCTTGTACGCATGGTCACGTTCATCATCAATTTCATGAGCACTGGCACGATCTTTTTTATTTGATTTACGTCGTACTCTTCTAGCTCCGCAATCTCCTCTTTCGACACCGTCCGATTGGATTTTGTCTGTGTTCCCTTCTTCGTCCGTCCGCCTCCTCCTCCTCCTTCGACCCTGCGCCTCACGGCTGGGGCCGCCGACGCGGCAGCTGGGGCTGCCACAGGGAGCGCCGACCACATGCCAGACAAACTCTGGAAGAGGGATGGGAAGATGATCGCGTAGGTGAAACTGAAGCTCCTCAAAAGACCGAAAAGGCTGCAGGCATACTGGGCATGACCTATCCTCAGGATCTTGCACGGGTGGGTTGAACTTCGACGAGTCAACCCTGCACCGACCAAACCGATAAGAATTCACAAGATGTCTGACCGCCGTATCACGGCATCTGAACGTCGACAGGCAAGCAACACATTGGTTGGTGAGAACTAGCTTGGATATGGTGGACGGGATTCCATGTTGACCACCAGTCGCTTGCCTCTGGTGGACTAGCAGGGCGCGCCTAGATATAAAACGTCGGCCACATTCAAGGCCATCATCATCAAGATACGTACAACAATATTCACCTTCGGCAACCTCTCCTGGTTCGGGGGACACGTCCGTGGGCGGCAGCGGTCTCATCAGCCATTCAGCTCGAAACTGCTGCATATCGATCTTCTGAAACGCGTCATAGGCCTCGGAGTTCCCGCGAAAGATCCCCAAGTAGTCTATGACACTGGCCTCGTCCCTAAGTAACTCCAAGACGTCCCTCCCCTCCTCCGTACATTCCATATACTTAAGATCTTGCACAAACTGTTTGGCCCATGGGTTGTCTCTCGAGGTATCCTTGGGGCTCGAGCACGCACTGGGGTACCAGGAGAAGGACGACGGATCCGCTTCTTCGACCTCCAAGATCCCGAAGACCGCCGTCAGCTGTTGAACATGGCATGCCGGACTACGAACTATTTTCTGCCACTCTTTCAACCTCTGGACCCTCGACTCTAAGTCAATCGGAACAAGTCCCGCTTGGCGCCATAGAACATGTGCGGGGGGGGTCCTGATAACCGTAGTCTTGGAACCGTCAGGGTTGACAACCTCGATCCTGGTAGCAACACCACCTAGGAGCACACGTAGATATCGTAGACAAATAGACTCAATACGGGCAACTTGGGAGGCCGAGAGGACCAGAGCAGTGAGCCCCGAGATCGCAGCGCCTATCACGTTGCTTCTGAACGCCATTTTTTTCGAACGCCATGAGGAACAGACAGACCAGAAGCTCTTCATGTGAGCCCAGCCTCGAACAGCAGCAGCTCGCCTAGCTTCAACCTCTGACGCCCGCGATCCCGACGTCGAGAAGAGGGTCCCGAGAAAAGGAACAACAGGTAAAACTTGTCCAGGGAGATCATGAGCACCATGCGAGAAGGCCATCTTTGTGGCCCAATGCGCCCCAGGACCACTGAAGTGAGGGACCACCTGTTTCTTACCCGCGCTCTGGAAGACACCGTGTTCGCGTAGCGATCCATCCAGTAGACGATCTGAGTGCATTATGATAGCTCTTGCATCGGCCAGGCCCCGAACAATATGTGTTTTGTTCAGGTCATCTGCAAAGACGCGCAGGCTCAAGTCGCACATCTCGCCTGTCACAGCGCAAGTGCCCAGTGGACGATTCTGAAACTTCTGATGGTGGCCAATCTGCCACTCATTCACTGGCGGCGCGAACGCTTCCTGAAACACAGTGGCAGCATTGGCATCCCCCATGTAGTTCCCCTCCGTGTTGCGAAAAACTTTGTAGCCGCCATCGGCCGTGACCCGAAAACACGCCCTTCGATGCCTCTGCTTCAGGATGCGAGCGTCCGTAGCATCATACAGCCTATCCACGGCCTCGCCCAGAGACTGGTGCTTCACGGACCCGAACGCGTTCCGCATATCGTGTTTCGTATCGACCGTAGACACCCTGCCCCGAGACACCCTCCAGGAAAGCGCCGCGGTAGTTCGAATCGCCCCCGTTCTCGAACGTCGTGGTAAGTAGCCGTAATCGCAGCACGGTATCGCCCTCGCCTTCCTCCTCGCCACCTTCACCCACATTTTGCCGAACGAGCAGAGACCGTGAAGCAATCTTGTACTCTGTGTGCGTGTCTTATCGTTATCCTTCGACAACTGATAAGTGAAAGAAACGTTCCAATGTGCAACAAGCCTAGCATGCTGACGAACTTTGGTCAGAATACACTTCACCCACTTACTGATCATCTGTCCGATGCCCTCTGGGGGCTCAACTCCAAGTCCTGCCGATCGCACCTTCTCAGACTGGCGCGACGAAAGCAGCAGCGACCAAATCTCATTCGGCACGCTCCACGGCACTGCAGCACGCCTTCGGCGTGCTGTGCGAAAACCTTTGGCAATGCGTTCAAAGTCGTGCTCAGCCTGTGACACGTCATCGATTGAGGGAAACTCGTCATCGTCGAACCTCGAGGCGCTCGTGATGAAATCGGCCTCGCTGATCTCGGTCGCACTCATTCCACCCTTGCTCGACGGCATCGCAAGATCCTCCACCCACTCCTCCATGCTCGGTGTGTAAGACGCAATATGTCCATACTTCCTCCTCCTAGGTCCCACACCAGCCCCCGCCATAAGTCTACATATCCTCCACTCCTCCGAAGCGAGTCCCTTCGATTGTGCCTCCATCAATTCCTCCGACAGTTGGGCCTCACGGAGCTCACGAAGTTGCCGACGGAACAACCTGCACTTCTTAGTTATTCGGGTTAAAGCCAAAGTAGACTCCAAAGAGCCAGTACACCTTTCACGCGTCTTTCCCCTCTCCCGCAGAAGCCGCACACGTTCCTGAGACATCTGAGAGTACTCAGCTGGCATAGCCTTAGGGTTGGCCTCAAAGATCTCAAGCCCCTTCTCCTGGATGAGCTCCATCAGGGTCTTCCAGGCATCCTCGAGGTTCTCAGATTGGACAAGCTCCTCCAGGGACCCCACACCTCTCTGCTCAAGTAGAGACTCAACGGCATGTTCAACACTCTTGCGAAACACTTGTGCATGATGCTCACTACGTAGTGCAAGTCCCAGCCCCACGAAATCCCATCGTTTCCGAGGAGGTTCCGCACGATAGCAGGGTCTCAGCTCCAGTTGGAAGACAAAGGGGATGTGGTCCCTGGGACGACTGTCTGGGATGATCTGGAGCCGCTTCGCAGCCCTCATTGCTTGCGTAAACCTCTGGATCCTATGCACATGGCATTCAGGAACAAATACATGATCAATGTACGACGCATGCTGCTTCTTGGTGCCCTTCTGGGTGCTCTGGAAGCTCGGGGTAGCCGACGTTATCCTTGCCTCGACAGGGACAGCACCGTAGTAGCTTGGACCACACTGGAAGAACGTATTTGCGGCCGCCAGCGAGTACGTCTCCGCGAAGCCTCTCATCAATCCTCCTGCCAGGTGCTCCTCTCCGCGTCCGTGTTCTCCCAGCGCTGGCGACACAATGTTAGAGAGTCCGTGGGGTCCATGACAGCGACCAAGCCCATCGTTGAGATCCATAGCAATGATCGGCGTGGTCCTGCTCGGTAGACATGACATCACGTGATGTGCAAAGTCGTGAACTTTGTTCACCGTGGTAGTCAGTTGGTTCTGCTCCCTGGGGTCACGACTCCTTGGTGGGAAGTAGAGCGCCATGCACGTCACATCCCCATAGTACGATTTGACTCGAATAGCTCCTCCCCGTCCACGAATATCTTTGGGTGCCACCCAAATCCTCACCACATCTCTCGCACGTACAGTATTTTTGTTAATATAAAAGGAGACTCCGCACGAACAGTTAGAATGCGCACTCTTGGGATCGTATCCCATGTGTACAGCTTTGAAGTTAGGTAGATCTTCCACCACATACGAAGAAGAAAACGCACGTCTCTGTGTCGCAACTAAAATCACAATATCCACTTTGGCAAACTCATACTGCAACTCGAGTTCTCGATCTCTATCGGATATAGACAAAGGGTTCCAACATACTATTCTCATCAGACACTTCGAATCATTCACGAGACCCAGGCACCAGCATGCAATCAACAAGAGTATGTACAGTGGGCACGTACAGTAGCGGGGCGCCGGTGGTCGCGCCTTGCAGTCGGTCTGGCGGGGGGCGCGCCTGCCTCCGTGCAGCCGCGGCATGTGGAACGCCTGGGCCGCGCGGCTAGGAGGAGGAGGAGGAGGAGGAGGAGGAGGAGGGGGAGGGGGAGGAGGAGGAGGGGCGTGGCCAGGCCCGGTAAGAGAACACCTGGACCTCAAGAGAATAAGGCGGCGGAAGGGAAGGGCAGGGCATGGCAAGCTGGTCAACTTGTCCGAGCGTGATTACAGTCGGGGTGGATTGGAGAGGACACGCGAGAGGACACAAGACTCTTCCGATGACCACATTTCCAGTGGAATGTAGTGGGCATGGGTCGCGAAACACAAGACACGAGGGCGCAACAACGTCCAGCAGACACGCAGAACATCAGGGCACCTTCCCCGAACCGACCTCCCCTGAGATCCGACGTTGCGGAAAAATTGCAACATCGCGACAAATCGCGCCCAGAGCCCCAGACCCCGTCTGTCTGCGTCATTTTTCCAGCGAGATCGATCTGCGAGGGTCCCGGGGCTCGGACAAAAAAACGAAACAACGCCCGGCTCTAAGAGAAAAGCTGAGATGCCAGGATCTCGGGGTCGCTTTCATATGCCTCGGCCCGGCTGCAGTCCTAGGTCGGTCATGCCCCCCAACGGGCGGATCTTGGAAGAAAACTTAAAACTGGTAAACAGATGCCCCCAAATGGTCCAAAATATTTTAAAATGGAGGGGCCCTGGGACACACAAATACATACACACAATAAATACACACAAAACAATATTTTCTGGGTTTGTGTCTTCCCGCCTAATTCCTATATTTTCCAATATTTTCTTGGGAATCGACGATTAATTGTGTCTGCGTGTTTTTTCCCCTCTGACAAAACATCGTCCCCATACTATTTGTTGTCCTAGGTTCGACTCTTCATCCTGCAGAGGGCCATGCCCGAACGTCACTGCCGTCGATCGAGGGCCCCCGAAAACGGCGCCTCCGGGTGCGGCCTGGGTCGGCGGGCCCTCCCCGACGGGCGCGGGGGGCAGGCGAGCGCCGAGAAGCGAAGAGCGAAGCGTCGGATCGGCGATCCGACGCGCTGCGTCCCGATCGGATCGGCGATCCGACGAGAACCGAAGCTAAAAAGTCGGATCGGCGACCCGCCGTGCGGCGTCCCGATCGCCGACCCGACCTGCCGACGCGACTCTCGGTCGCGGGAATTCTTCGTGGACCTCTGTTTCGAAGTCTTCCCACGCGGGGGGGGGGTCGTCAGAGCGGGAGCCCGTGCTCCAGTATCTCACCAAGATGGGCTCCCAGGTGTGCGCCGATCCGACCTGCCGAGAACCGAAGCGAAACGTCGGATCGGCGATCCGACGTGCCGCGTCTCGATCGCCGACCCGACCTGCCGATGCGATTCTCTCGGTTCGAGCAGGGCCGGGGTGGCCAAGCCGGATCGATCGACGTCGGAGCGAGAAAAGTCGGATCGACGATCGGTCGATCGAGCGCGGCTTGATCGATCGACGTCGATCGATCAGGCCGGACTCACTCGGAGCGAAAAGTCGCATCGGCGATCGACGTGCTGCGTCTCGATCGCCGATCCGACTTGCCGATGCCATCCTCGGTTCGAGCAGGGCCGGGGTGGCCAGGTCTGAACAACCTTCCAAACGCCAGGCATCCGGTCGCTCCGACGGAAGAGGGGGAGGGGGAGATTGTTGGATCGAGGAGGGTGCACGGAAGAGGCAGGAGGGAGGAGGGAGAGCTATGCACCGCATCGGCGGAACTCGGCAGCCGAGAAGGGAGCAGTCGAGCCGACGGAACATCGGCAGGCTCGTAGGCGCCTCCATGGAGGAACCGGAGCCCCCCTCGGACCCCGGAGCCGCAATCGGATCGGGCTCGGGAACGGGGGCCGATCGACATCGAAGCTGCACAGAAAGCGGATTCGCTTCGAATCGAGCCGAGTCGAGTCGAGTCGAGCCGAGCCGACTCGACATCGACATCGACATCGAACCGAACCGGATCGGGGGAGCCGAAGTGAGCCCCGTGGGGCGGGGCGCCGCCTGCGCCGCCGCGCCCTCGACGGCCTCGGGGGCGGTGGCCGCCCGCGCCTCCTGCGCGGCGCCCGCGCGCCCCACCGCCCACCCTCGAGGGGCCGGGGGGGGCACAAATACAGGGGCACGG